GCACAATAATTCCCTTCAATTCAATAAGCAATTTAGCATCTCCATACAGCAAGACACTCTAAGAGGTGCTCTGGTTTCAAAACTAACCCTGAGCTTACATTTCTCAAGGAAGATACAGGATGTAGAGTGAAGTATATTAAAAGCACAAGTATCATTATCCACATTTGACAGATGAGGAAACTGAGACTCAGGGAAGTGAAGGGAGCTTTCTTAGGTAGGAAGTGGCAGGGCTGAGATTTGAATCCATGTCTTTTGATCTTTCTATGACACTATGCTGATGCCTTTAATCATGATGAAAGCACAATTGAAAATGACAAATATTTCTCCTTCATATTTGCTTGAAGATTGACATAAAATGCTAAATATGGCTGAATGAGATGCACTTTTGAACAATGTGGAAATTTGTTTTGCTTCATTGTACATGTTTGTTACAAGTGTGTATTGTTTTGTTTTATTTCCAGTGGGGTGGGTTGGAACATAGAAGGAGAGAAAATAGATTGTTATTAAATAAAAAAAATTAAATTTTAAAAATTATGACTGTGGTTATCCATTTCTGAGATAGAGCCTCCATGATCTCCCATAGTCATATGTTCGTAATGTCTTAGAGCTAACACAAATCCCTTTGTTATCATGCATTATTTTAATGTTTTCCATATGGTATTGTCTTTCCAAATAAAAGGATTAATGAGGAGAGATGAAAACTCTTAGAATCATACAGCTTGAGAAAAATAGCCATTTTTATTTTTAAGTTTATTGCTCAGAAAGGGTGTCAGTTCTAGAAGTTTGGGATTTAAAGTCAGTTTCTACCTTAGAGAAGGTCTTCTCTGTGACCTGAGTATTTCATAGTAAATTGTTAAGAAACGAACACTTATCCTCAATTGATAAATGGTGAAAGGATATGAACAGGAAGTTTTCAGAAGAAGAAATTAAAACTTTTTATCTGTAGTTATATGAAAGATACTCTAAATCACTGTAGATTAGAGAAATGCAAATTAAAACAACTCTGAGATATCACCTCACACCTATTAGAAATGACAGATGCTGGAGGAGGGGTGTGGGAAAATAGGTACACTAATGAACATGTTGGTGGAGTTGTGAACTGGTTCAACCATTCTGGAGAACAATTGAGAACTATGCCCAAAGACTGTAGAACTATGCATACCCTTTGACCAGCAGTACTACTGTTGAGTCTATATTCCAAAGAGATCAGAGACAAAGGGAAAGGACCTGAATCAGGAGATCATTGTACATAGTAACAGCAATATTGTAATGATGATCAACTATGAAAGACTTAGCTACTCTGATCAGTACAGTGATCAAAGACAGTTGTGAAAGACTTTTGGTGAAAAATGCTATCTACCTCTAGAGAAAGAATTGATGAACTCTGAGTGCAAATCAAAGTGTAATTTTCTCATTTTATTTATTTTTGGCGTCATGGCTAATATGAAACTGTTTTGAATTGTTTCACATATATAATTGATGTATTGCTTGCCTTCTCAGTGGGTGGGGGAGGGGATGGAGGGAGGAAGAAAATTGGGGACTCATTTTTTTTTATAAAAGAACATTAAAAAAATTTTTTTTGAAAAGGGAAAAAAAAAGAAATGAGCACTTAACCATACAAGCTAGGGTCCAGCTAGGTCAATTGGACCCCAGATCCTTACAAGAGAACAAAAAGGTCTAAGCAAACTCTAGGAGTATAATATACTGAAGCAAGATTAGAGTTTGAGAATGTGTACTGGATTCTGAAAAAATAAGACATTAATTGATATTCCGTTTCATCCTTTTTGTCATTGATCAGCCATTGGATGACAGTCTCATTGCCTTCCGCACACGCTCCAAAATGCCCCTAAAAGATGTTCCCTTAGGACAGCTGGAGGCTGAGCTCCGGGCTCCAGACATCACACCAGACATGTATGACCCCAATACAGCAGATGATGAAGACTGGAAAATGTGGCTTGGGGGGCTCATGAATGACGATGTTGAAAATGAGGGTAAGTGGTCTTCATTTGCATCACTTTGTATTTCTTTCCTAACCTCTTGAAATTTTCATTTAACTGAAAACTTAGCAAATGGGATATTTGATTAGTTGAATTCAAACAATTCAGTTTATCAGACATTTATTAAGTGTTTATTTACTGTGTGGTGGGCCCTCGGGATACAAAAACATAAACCAATTTGGTCTCACTTCTCATGGAATTTACATTCTGTGGGGAAATACAGTATGTACACTATAATACAAGTCAGTTTGATTAAGGGGAGAGCATAACGGTGATCTACCTGTTAGGATTATTAAAGGAAGGAGATTCTTTTTTTTAAGGCAGTTATGGTTAAGTGACTTGCCCATGGTCACACAGCTAGTAAGTGTCAAGTGTTTGGTCTGAGGTCGGATTTGAAGTCAGGTCCTCCTGACTTCAGGGCTGGTGCTGTATCCACTGCGCCACCTAGCTGCCCCTAAAGGAAGGAGATTCTTGCATGAGGTGAGAGGTTAAATAAGGTGATCTTGATTTCTTTTTTTGGGGGGGGGGGTCCTAGGCCATGGGGTTAAGTGACTTGTCCAGGGTCACACAGCTAGCCAAGTGTCAAGTATCTGAGGTCAGATTTGAACACAGATCCTCCTGACTCCAGGGCCAGTGCTCTATCTACTGTGCCACCTCGCTGCTCCTCCATAAGCTTTTGAGTTTTAAATTTTTTTCCCCTCTTTTCCCACCTACCTCCCCAAGACAGCACACAGTCTGATATAGGCTATACATATACATTCCTATTAAACATACTTTCACATTAGTCATGTTGTAAGTAAGAATTAGAACCAATAGGAGGAACCCCAAGAAAGAAGAAATAAAACAGAAGAAAAAAAAGAGCAAATAGTATGCTTTGATCTACATTCAAACTCCATAGTTCTTTCTGTGGATGTGGATAGCATTTTCCATCATAAGACTTTTGGAGATGTGTGAGATCCTTGCCTTGCTGAGAAGAGCTAAGTCTATCAAAATTAGTCATTGTACCAACGTGGATGTTACTGTATATTGGTTCTGCTCACTTCACTCAGCATCAGTCCATATAAGTCTTTCCAGGTTTTTCTAAAGTATGCCTGCTCCTCATTTCTTATAGCACAATAGTATTCCATTACATTCATATACCACAACTTGTTCAGCCATTCCTCAGGTGATGAGCATCCTCTCAATTTCCAATTCTTTGCCACCACAGAAAGAGCTACTATAAATATTTTTGTGTATATGTGGGTCCTTTTCCCATTTTTTATGATCTCTTTGGGATACAGCCCTAAAAGTGCTATTGCTGGGTCAAAATGTACCTTGATTTTTAAAGTCCTGTTTTACTTAGGGTTAACATAAAACCCTCTTTTGTTTGAACCTTTAATGTTCAATTTTTCTAGAATCTGTTAGGGTGCCTTTTCTCCTTAGTATGATATAATAAACATAATTATATTTTTCAGTTCTATTCAACAAGCATTTATTAAGAGCTTGCTATATGTCTGGCATTGTGCCTAGAACCTAGGGGTAGAAAGACAGGAGTTTATGTTCTGTTTTGTGGATACACCATATACTTGGATATGAAATTGCAGGGTTTTTTTATTTGTATGTTTGTTTGTTTTGTTTTGTTTTGTTTTTTTGCTTTTTGATGAGGCAATCCAGGTTAAGTGACTTGCCCAGGGTCACACAGCTGGTAAGCGTGAAGTGTCTGAGGTCAAATTTGAAGTCAGGTCCTCGTGACTCCAAGACTAGAGCTCTGTCCACTGCGCCACCTAGCTGCCCCTGGATAAGAAATTACAATAGAAATACAAAGTTAAGGGGATGGGGTCCCAAGCCACTGGGAGAATCAAAAATCAGCATCTTTGATGGCTGCAGTTTTTTGTATTGCTTAATTGTTCTCATTCTGAACACTAGTGTTCATTGATCAATAAGAAAAGAGTGAAAAGTATAGGGATCATAGAATTCTAGAATCAGAAGGAACCTCAGAGTTTCATCTAGGACAGCCTAAATCATCAATGCTTTGTGTAGTATAGAACATGCTTAGCTTCCACTTGAAGACTGTCAGCCTGTCTGACATGGAACTCAGTATCTATTGAGTCACTAGGAGATTGGTTTAAATCTCTAATTCTAGTATGTATCCTAGAATGTTAAAACAGAATCCTTAATGTGTTACATGATTGCACATATATAACATATCAAATTGCTTACCATCTTAGGGAGGGGTGAGGGGAGGGAAAAATATTTGGAATTCAAAACTTTATGAAAAATGAATGTCAAAAATTGTCTTTATATGTAACTGAAAAAATAAAGCACTATTTAAAAAACAGAATTTCTAATATGTATATTTTAATACTTTGATTTTGTTCATTTGGATATTCCTTCTGCTGATGTCAGCAGCAACTCTTTATGACTTGGTAGATGGTCTTCAAGAATTTGGTTGAAAATTTTCTTTTCTAAGTCTATTTAGCAGAGTTGGTCCTCAGATAACTTCCTTGATATGGGTTTTTTTTTTGTGGGGGTGGGTTAGTTTGACTCTATATCTCCAAAGTGGAGTTTTCCAAAAAAATTCTGGTTGATCATGAAAAAGGCCAGCTGCTCTCTACTGTTTATGTATAGTGATTTGTACCCACCATTCCCCGAACTCTAATTGTGCTTTTTTTCCTCTTCAAACTTTAATCACAAGCCACTGCCGTAGAGCATGCATACGTCCATTCCCATATTTCTTATGTATTTTGTACTCAGAAGAAGAAAGAGTGGGTAGATGAATGAGAGACTTGTTGGAGAATATGTGTAAATGGTGGGATAAGAGTGGTAATTTCAGCTAATGCGGGATGCTTGTAAAATTGAACATCAACAAATATGTATTGAAGACTTACTGTGTATAAGGTAATATAGGTGCTGTGGGGGGATAGGGAGCTTACTGTTACCTCATAAGAAAGATGAGACATAGATAATAGCTCTTTGCATATAGGAGCTTAAATATTTGAATGAATAAGTAATTCGCAGTATAAGCATAGTAAGGACCTAGTGTAAGACTGGGAAAAGTGATACAGATGAAGTGTCATAAAATTTCAGAAGAAACATAACTTTTAGCTAGTGTGATCAGAGAAGACTGAATGAAGGAGATGGTATTTGAGCATGATTTTTGAAGAATGGTTACGATTTCAATAGGCAGAGTTTGGGGTGGGAGGGCATTTCAAGGAAAGACATAAACAGAAGAAGAAAAGTGAGAAAATCAAAGCAAGATCTGTAGGATACATTCTTCCAGGAGGTTAAAGTGCTTTTACATTTACTGGTAACTCTCAGTTATCCATAGTTATGTGGGAACCATGATAATTGAAATCCCTTATCCAGGTACCTGATTTTTGTCCTTATTTCCAGTCCCCTTTTCCCCCAAACATTTGAAAGGAATTGTTAACAAGTAACAAGCTAGATTGACTTAAGTTTCATCTTTTCTTTCTTCCTCTAAGCAGCAAAAAGTCCTTAAGAACTAAAATAAGAAAAAGCTAAACCTCAAAATTTGAATGATGCACAAATAAGGGGTTTAAGATTATAGGAGTTAAATGTGTAGATGCTCACAGTGAAAATGTAACCAGCCCCTCTCTTGGGCCAGTTGCAGCACACCCCTGTCAGTCTCTAGATGTTGTTTATACATAGTTGTTTGCGTGTTGTCTCCCCATTAGGCTCTGAGTTCCTTGAGAGCAGGGACTGTCTTTGCTTTTCTTTTTATCCTTAGTGCTTTACACAGTGTCTGGCACACAGCAGGCACTTAGTAAATGCTTGTTGAATAGCTGGCTAACAAAAAGAAAAGATTATAGGAGTTAAGAGATGGAAGGGACATTGCAGATCACCCAGTCAAACTGCTTCCCTGTCCTTTTTCACAGATTTTGAAACTGGGGCCCAGAGAAGTAAAGTGATGAGTGCCTGAATAATTAGGAGTATTGGCCCTAATGAGGGAGAGAAGAATGAACAGGGATGATTCTTCATATTTTGCAGATGATGAAACAGAGACCCAGAGAAATCCATTGATATGCCCAGTTACACAGTAAATCTGTGGCAAAACTAGGACTAGTGAACTCTGCTTTGTGTTTTGAGGCATAAGCCAAAGGGCATTTATAGAAAGTAGATGAGGTGCTTTTGTTGATTTCATAATTTTGTCTGTGGCTTCAACTTTGGTATCTTCTTTTTATTATCTTAGTTACAAAGATCATTATCTGACAGCTGGTAGATCAGAAAGGCCAGAGAAAACTGACTTTCAGGGTTTTGAGGGTCTAGGGGTAGGAGTAGTGGTTGATAGGAGGTATATCCTTTTTTAAAAGTGTTTATTTTCTTTGCCTGTTAGGAAGAATTAAAGAGAGGAAACTTAGGGTCAATGACTCAGAATGTGTGTGGTCTTCTTGTTACTGCTAGCTGAGTTTGCTAAGAGTTGAACAGAAATGAGAGACAGGACTGGATATAGATAACCAGCACCCAGCTTTAAGCATAGGCTGCTCTTTGTGTAGTGGCTCTTAGCTAAACTATTTTTTACATTTACCTTGTGCTATGTAATTGAAATTCATTTGCAGAAAGTAATTAAGTAGCTTTGGAGGAGCACACTAGACTAGAATAATTTGGTTGAATGTTGTTAATTACAGTCAATAATTATGTCCAGAGGGAAGAATACATAACTAATCTACTAAAAACTGAGAGGCACCCTTCCTAAAGCCTTTTTCAACATGCCTTCCAAACCACCATAGAGACTGGTGCTCTGGGGGTCTGTTGACCTGCCCCATCTTTGCTTTGTTTGGGCAGGAGCTATCTGTAGATCAAGGAGGTTTATAAACCTATACACAGTTCACTTATGCTACTGGACATTCCCCAGAACCTCCACTAGTCATTTATCAGGTTTTTTTTATTTATTTATTTGTTTGTTTGTTTGTTTTTTGTTTTTTTAGAGAATCTATTGTGTAGAGACCTAACTGCTAGTTTCCTTAGGGATCTACCAAAGAAATAAAAGACAAAAACACTCTCAAAAGACTAGTATGCATATACACTAAAAGACAACATAAATCATCATACAAATTAAATTATTGTGAATTCTGAGTACATAAATACTTTGAAAAGTAGTGACTAGAATTGAGTGGAGATTACAGTAGGTTTCCCAAATAAGGTAGGAATTGTTGAATGTTTTCAAGGATGGCAGGGATGCATCTTGGTCAGTGATGTCAGGGAAATGAGAGGACATCATCTTGTGCAGTTATTTAATACAATTGTTTAATTTTTTTTTAACATAAAGTCAGGACTTAAATTTATATTTACCCCAGATGAATTTCACCATGTTGGCTTTTGACCTTATCAGGTGCCTTTGCAAAGGCATTGGTGCAGAAATGAACAAGTTGTTTTTTGGTCCTGGATGGAGCACAACTGATGTGTTTGGCTAGAGGGGAGCCCTGCCCAGGGTACAGAGATTCCTGAACATTGAGCTTTTAGCATCAAGATCAGAGATTAGAAAGTGTCTTAAAATGATTTTCTTTTTTTCTCTTTAGATGAAGCAGATGATGATGATGATCCAGAATATAACTTCCTAGAAGATCTTGATGAACCTGACACAGAGGATTTCCGCAATGACCGAGCAGTGAGAATTACCAGTGAGTCTTAGTTGAGTGTGTGTCCAGTCCTCAGCTCCTCTCTACTTCCCTTCTGGTATCTTTTATTATAAAATTTGGGGGATGGAATTTACAATTTATCTTAGTTGGGGTGTTCAGATCTCTATCAGATGAGATTTTGAAGCTTTATAACTTTAGCTACTCCAGAGTTGAGCCTAACAGTCCAATCAGCATGATGCCAAGCTGGATTTGGAGTTTATCAGCAAACATTTATTAAGGACCTACCATGTGCTTATATCTGTATCTATTATATATATCTGTATAGCTATACACACACACACCATACTAAGTCCTAGGAGATACAAATACAAAAATAAGAGAGTCCTTGCTCTCAAGGAGTTTACAGTCTGTTGAGGGGATATAACATGTCCACAGATGAGTAAATAAAAGATGCAAAGAGGATCTGGTTCAAAACTTATCTCTGTCATTTACCCCTTTGGCCATCGGAATGTTATTTTACCTTTTGGGGCATCATTTTCCTCATTTCTAAAATGAGGAGTTTGGTCTAGATGACCTCTAAGGACCCACCTTTATAATTTGATGATTTCTTGGGTAGAAGGGCCATTAACATGTAGAGAAATGGGAAGGGCCATTTGAAGAAGGTGAAACTTGAGCCAAAATATCTTCAGCTAGAGATTTGAGGAGGAAGAATGGTCCAGGCATGGGGGAGATAGCCTGTGCAAAGGCATGGAGATGAAAGATAGGATGTCTGGAAAGGCAGGCAGGAATCAGATTGTGAAGGACTTTAATGGCCAAGTAAAGGAATTTGTATTTTATCCTAGAGGTTGCAATTGGCATTTCTTGAGCAGAGGGGGGACATACAGTTAGATCTATGCTTTTGGAAGATCAGTTTGGCAGTTTTGTAGAGGATACACTGCAGGGAAACCACTTAGAAAATTATTGCAGTTGTCTAGGTGAGAGCTAGGTGATTGTGGTGTGAGCAGAGAAGTGGATAGATGTAAGAGATATTAGAATTTATAAGTTAATATTTATATGATTTGGTGACTGATTAAGTATAAAGTGCTAAGCGTGGTTCCTAGGTTATAAAAGAAAACATAGACACACAATCACAAATCCATGAAAAAAACAAAGTAAAAAATAATATGCTTTGGTCTGCATTCAGACTCTCTCATTTCTTTCTTTGGAGGTGGATGGCATTTTTTATTATAAGCCCCTCGGATTACCTTGGATCTTTATATTGCTGAGAATAGCCAAGACATTTACAACTGATCATCTTAGAATATTGCTGTTACTATTACAATGCTCTCCTGCTTCTGCTTACCTCACTCTGCATCAGTTCATGTAAGTCTTCCCAGGTTTTTCTGAAAGCAGGCAGGAAAGAACATTGATGGTTCTGGAGCATTGGTGAGGGAGACCAGGAGAGACTTCACAGAATACCTGGACTGACAGAAATTCTTTGAGGTAGTAATGCATTACACAAATGCATGAGGAATCCCACTTGTGCAACTTCCCAGATATGGAAGATGGATTATTGAGTTTGAGAAACAACTTATATTCCAGCCTTATTAGAATGGAAAGTTCATGAATGAGAGTAGTATGAAATATGGCTGGAAAGGCAAGTGGGAGCCAGATTCTGAAGGAATTATATACCAGACTGAGGAATTTGTACTTTATGCTATTGGGAGGATGGATCTGTCAGTATAATTTTCCTTAAAGCCATGTCTGACCCTGTCGTTCCCCTGCTTAGTAAATCCAATGGTTTTCCATTACTTCCAGGAACAATATAAACTCCTGTCTGGCATTTAAATTTCATCACAACCAAGCCGCTTCTTTTGTCTTTTCAGAATTCTTACATTTTACTCCCTTCCATGTACTCTGACTTACTTGTGGTTCTTCACACATGACCTTTCACGTTTGTGTCTTTGTAAAGGCTATCTCTCATTCCTCGAATGCACTTCCTTTGAGTTCCTTCAAAACTCAGTTCAAGTGCCACCTTCTACAAGAAGTCTTTCCTGATCCACCCAGCTGCTAGTGCTTTCCCTCCCCAAACTACCTCATATTCATTTTGTGTGTGTGTGTGTGTGTGTGTATATATTCCATACATACTTACATGTACATGTTGTCTCCCCTGTTAGAATGTAAGCTTGTTGAGGGGAGAGACTGTTCCACTTTTGCCTTTGTATCTCTAGCACAATTCCTGGCACATTTTAGGTATTTAATAAATGCTTATTGTTTGGTTTGTGAGTAGAGGAGTAAGATGATCACACGTGCTTTCTGAAGTTTGACAGCTATGTGGAGAAAGAAGACATTGGAAGCAAGAAGATCAATTATTACAGTTGTCCAAACCAGTAGCGATGACGGCTTGGCCCAGGATTTTTACTTTGTGAATGGAGAGAAAAGAACAGATTTGAGAGATATGGAGGCAGAAATGACAAGGCCAAGAGACTTGACAGTTGATTGGATGTGAGGGGTGAGCTAGGGAGAAGTCAGGATTGACTCTGATATTAACCTGAGTGACAGAGAATGTGTTGGTGCCCTCAGCAGAAATAGGGAATTTTGGAAGAGGGCTGCATTTGAAGGAAAGATAGGAATTCATTTGGATATGTTTAGTTTTAGAAACCAATAGGATACACAGGTAGAGATGTCCAGCAAGCAGTTGATAGTATAGGATTGGGGTATAGGATACATACAGATTTGAGACTTATCTACATAGAGATTATGTTTGAACCCTTGGAAATAGGTAAGGACATTGCAGCCAGAAGGTCTCTAGCCGCAGGGTTCTATGCTTGATCTTTTCCTAACCAGTATACTCAGTGCTCTTGGGGAAAGTTGTTAAGCCATGAGTCCTCCTAACTCTACTACTTTCTGAAGTAGTTGATAAGGCTTTATCAGATGTTTGATTTAAATTAAGGTACATCATTCCTAACACATTCCCTTGATCTACCATTATCATAATCCTATCAGAAAAGGAAACCACTAATAGTCTGCTTGGTTTTGTTGCAGAAAAGGAAGTGAATGAGCTGATGGAAGAATTGTTTGAAACTGTAAGTAGCAAACTTTAAGTGGGACCTTTAATAGTAAAATTGGATGACCGATGAACTGTGACACGCACCCCCTACCCCCATTCCCATATTTGAGTTCTTTTCTCCAGAAAACTAGGATAGTCTGAAAGGGCAAATCTGTTTCCAAAATCCAGGAGGTAACATAGTCTCAGGAGATTATTTTTGATTACTGTCAGCTTTCCATTATCCTCATATAATTATTCTCAGGAAAATTTTAGCTTCTCAAATTTTATCTGCCACATAGCCAACTATAGCATGATCTCCCTCACTGTCATTTGGTGTGGACTCAGGGATTGCTTGAGCAGATATAATTAGGAAGACTAATGTACTGCTTCAAAATCCTATAATGCATTATCAAATAAAATGTTAACAATATTGGATTATCCACTGTCATATATCCCATTGGTGTAGCTAACTGACAGTTGGCTTTGTGAGTTAGGTTTACCACACATACACAACTGTATAAGACTTAAGTTGGAGAATTATGAAAATGTCAAAATAATAGTGATGGCCTCTACATTGACTCATTTTGAATGCTTAGATGAATAAGATCCTATGTCCATTTCTTTCTTACCACTGGAATGAGTTTCTTGAGGAGTGAATTCCAGGATATTAATCCTTTCCTCTTTTCCCTAGTTCCAAGATGAAATGGGCTTTTCCAACATGGAAGATGAAGGTCCAGAGGAAGAAGACAATGTGACTGAATCCCGACCCAACTTCAATACTCCCCAAGCCTTACGGTAGGATTGACAGAAATCCTGGATGACATTTGGGGGGAAATGTACTGTGAAGGATCCAGGCCTGTGCCTTATACATCAGCTTCTCAAGGGTACTTCGTGTAATAGGTCTAGGGAACTTTGCCTTTGTCCTTAAGGCTTATGCTTTTTATTATTTTCAAAATTATTTCACTGTTCTCTGACCCTAACCTAACGTACTAAGTGTCTTGGAGCTTTCTGGTCCCTAAGCCTGCTTGTCTCTGTGGCTACAGGGATCTGTTGTACCTAGTTCTTTATTGCCTGTCTGACTTCTGCATCTTTTTTCTCTTCTACTCCTTACCACCGTACACTCTAAACTGTGAGAATAGGTTTCTGTTTACATGGGAAAAAAGAATATACAGATTTAGAAAAATTATATCAGAATAAAATAATTTGAAGTACAGATATTAAAATAATTCACACAAAAGCTGTTTGGTCCCATAGTTGATAACACTTACTCTTTTTAAGCTCTTCAATCTGCTATAGTTAATGTGGTTTTATATTGGCCAACTGTGAAGCTCTTCTGGTCTGGTCATCCTCATCGTGTCGCCCGAGGAGAATGGCTGAGATTGAGCCAAGGATAGAATGGATGAATGAGTTTGATCTGGTATGCCCAGATGCAGTGGACATATTTCACAAACTAGAAAAGTCCTGCAACTACCTAGGAAGACACTTAACTTTCTTAATAAATTTTTGGTGCACCACTTATGTGCCTTTAAAATCACATAAACAATTGTGTCTATCTCCCTTCTCCCAATTGAGGAAAAACAAGGAAATCCAAATGGTATTGTGTTATCATTCTTCTAAAAAACAAATCAGAATCATTCATTACTCATAGATTACCTGCAAAGTTCAAAAAAGACAACCCCTTTCCTTATGTATGCTTTGTGAAAAAGAAACCAACCTTTATTAAGAGAAACAAAGGTGGGGTCTACAGTCCACCCAGACCCCAAGATACAAAATACATATTTATAGGTCTCTTGATTCATGTATGGTGCAGCAAAGTCTTCTAGAATCTTGATTCATGTAAGATTGCATTTTTCAGGTCATTGTGTCCTAACTTTGTTCTTTCTATGATGTGTCAATTAGCCTTTTATGGGATTTTCTTACTTTATCATTTTAATATAAAGATTACTATATAGGTATGATTATTATGACCACATACTTATGGTGCACACTTTATAACGATTTATTTACACTCCTAAGGTTAACTAACAGAGGAATTTCTCTGGAACTACATCATAGTTTGGTTACACACAGATTTTTTCACCTGGGACTATGTTCTTAACTATAAATCACAGTTATTTCTTATCCTTATGATTATAGCTGATAAATGATTAGCAAGGCAGTACAGAGCAAAGTGCTCAACACATTGATTATTGATCTTTTTCCTTTCAGCTTGTGGGGAGGAAAAAAACCTAAATTTTTGTGAACATTGGTTGTCCGCAAGAATGTTGAGTCCAGTTGAGAACTGAGTGTCAGGTGAACAGGTCTCCTTTTTATGGGGCAGTGCAGCTCTAGCCCAAGCTGTATCTGTTTGGGAAGGGAGCAAAAGAAACAGCTGGCATCTCTAGAAGCCTCTCTGGATGAGTTGTACTTGAGAGGTGTCGAATTATGTGACCAGCTACAGATTATTTTTCAAACTGTGATGCCTACTGTTTTCCTCCAACCCTACTTGTACTTTGCTTCTCCTTCCCTTTTTACCCATATCCATTTGGGTCCGTGACGTAAGCTCTTAAGTATTGACTGCATATCCATGGGATGCTCAGTAGTGTTTCAGGAGGTTGGTATAGATGTGCTTGTATTTGTGTATGAATTGAATTTGATAAGCTTTTATTAAGTGCCACTATGTACTAGGCCCTGTGCTAGTTGTTGGGAATACAGAGACAAAAACAAAACAATCTCTGATCACAAAGAACTTACATTTTACACAAACAGATCAGTGGATACAAAGTAAATAGAAAGTATTTTCCTGAAGGGTGGGGACAAGAATGCTAATAATGTAGAAAATGACATTTCAGCTGAGTCTTGAATAGAATTTGTAGGGCATATATGTTGAATTTTTTTTTTATTAAGGATGCATTTACATTGATCCAACTATACTCTTTCATCTGATCCTCTTGTGAACAAGTTAGCTGCCTATTGTTAGTGTCTGGTTTGTGCTACATAGGGATAGAACCTACTGTTTGACCTTACCAGCTTGTTTACTTGTTTACTTAGATCTCCAGCTGTGAAGCTGGAGATACTAACACAGCTTTCATATTACTTGCCTTCTAAGAGCTTATAGTCTAATAGGATCAATGAGAGGAACCATTGTGTAATACATACAAACATTGATCAAGTATATCACAATTATTAAAATTTGACTATAACTGAAAAGATTAATGTTTCAGCTGGTCCCTGCTTATTTCAAATAATGTTGGCTAGAAAAAAGTTAGTGTAGTTTGTCAATTTTGTGGATTATCTGCAGGGTGTTTGTAATGCAGGTTAGACTTCCTTTTCTATCCCACGGTTCCTTCTACTTTCAGTTGGGAATGTTCATTTTAACACTAGCCTAAATAAGATGTAATGAAAGAAAAGCTGCAGTTCCTCAAATAATGTATAATTTCTGAAACTGAGTGCAGATCATTTTTATATTAGCCACAGTTTTGACTTTTCTGTTTCCCTATTTCCTTGCATTGGTATAAGTAATTACTAGTTCACTGCGTTTGCTGAAGTATCATGTAGAAGGCCTGATGTTACTTGCCAAGTACTCAGGTTTCCTTAACCTGTTGTCTGGTTATTGAAAATAAAATAAACCCAGCAGAAGGAAAAAACAATTTTGACCCTGCGGGAGTTCATAAAAGAAATTACCATCAGTACACAAGAGAGATGAGAAAACATGCAAACTGGTCGTCATAACAACTCAGGCAAGGCCTTGTCCCTTTTTCTTGTGGTGTCAGCGTGGAGCTACCACTGAAATATGGGGTTCTGACCTTATTCCAAGAGACAGCATTGTAGGTATTTAATTTCTTAGTTTGTTTGGGGGAACACCTTAGTGTTTAATAGATTGTATCGTAAGGTAGGTTAGGGGACTAGTGATTTGTGGGAAAAGGTACCTTGATAGTGCCAAGAGGAGAAATGTTAATATTAGACCAACCTCCTTACCGATTTTTGTTCTTCAGAATTAGTGTGTGTCCCACAGTCCACTTCCTACTTCATCTCTGCACATGTTCCCCTGCATTATACTGCTAGGATTTTGACTTTTCAGGAAAAGGAACAGTAAAACCTATTAGAGAAAGGGGCAGAGATAGGGGTGTAGAGGCTGTATCTGAAGTACAGGGGTCACATATAAGTTTGAGACCTAGTAGATTTTGTTTGTCTTTTTCCAAAAAAGTCTCAGTCACTCTTAGTAGGAATATTTACTATGACATATCCAGGTAGTACAAGAGTGTCAGCCATCAGTTACTCAGGGGCCACTTAGTATATTTTGTTTTTATTTTGTTTTGAGGCAGTCAAGGTTGAGCGACTTACTCAGGGTCACACAGTTAGTAAGTGTCTTAGGCCAGATTTGAGTTTGGGTCCTCTAGATTCAGGGCTGGTGCTCTATCCACTCTACCACCTACCTGCCTCTACGCTTAGTGTATTATACTGGTGCCCTTTTTCTGCTTCCTGCTGTTCTGCCATTTCCTTGTTCATTTGCATGTCACCCAACAGATGATCAAAGGAAAGGAGAGGTGGGAAAACTCATCCTATTTGGGCTATTGTTGCCTTTTGAGAAATTGAACAAGGATAAGATTAAAACCTTTAACTGAAGTGGAATTTAGGTGTTAGAAAGCCTGTCTATAAATTTTAATTATTTGGACTCTCCTGGTACCCTTTCATCCTCTTTATAATGAAGAATGGGAAATTCCATATTATTAAAAATCTCCCTTTTGGAGACAGGTTTGAAGAACCCCTTGCAAACTTGCTCAATGAGCAGCATCGTACAGTGAAGGAGCTACTGGAGCAGCTAAGGATAAAGAAGTCTTCAACTAAGCAACAGCCAGAGGCAGAGAGGCCCAAGCCCCAGAGTGATAAGGCCCAGCAGACTCTCATTTTGGATGCAGCTCAGAGGAAAAGACTCCAACAACAGATGCAGCAGGTGAGATTCAGGGTTAAGTGACTTATCCAGGGTCGCACAGCTAGTATGTCTGAGTCCATATTTGAACTCAGGAAGATGAATCTTCTTGATTCCAAGCCAGGAGCTCTATCCACTGCACCACCTAGCTGCCCACCTTCAAGGGTACAAGATTCCAAATGTCCTTCTGTAATGCATTCCAGAGTCCAACAACTCACACAGGACAAGTGTAGTTTTTCCTTATGGCTTATCTAAATGACTTATATTATAGCTGATGCTCATGACTTCTGGTCCATTCTGATTAAGGGGTGCTTTTCTGGTAGGTCTAAGTTAAGACAGAATGTTAAGGCTGGCCCTTAGGAAGAAAAACATTTGAATTAAAGTTACAAATACACTGGGGTAAAGTCTTCTAGGTTCCCAGAATGACACCACCCCTTCATATCACTGATGTTTTTATTTCTTTTTTTTCTCCCTTCTAGCATGTTCAGCTCCTGACTCAGATTCACCTCTTGTCCAGCGCCAACCCCAGCCTCAGTTCGGAGGCCAATACTACCAAGATGTTTCTTGTAAGGCTTTTCTACCCCTAGGGTCTGAAAGCTAGAGTGTGAAATCAACTTGGCAAATCCAATTTCCAAAATTATTCATCCCTCATAATTTATATCAATTCTTTCACACACATTGACCAATCCTCCTTGATTTTTATCTTAGATATTTTCCTTATGAAAGTATAGATAATATATGTAGTCAGTTTCCTTTAGGCCTACCACCTCATATTCACTTGCTCTTCTGTTTAGTTTCGTGTAGGTCCACTCTAATTTTTTTTTTCTGTTTTCACTGTGTGCCATATTTTCATACCTATAGAGTTAATTGGTCATTTGCTAAGCATATTACCAGAGATTTATATGGTATACTATCCTCATTTTGTGCAAAGTAAAAAATGATGTGATGCGGATAGTTAAGTTGGAGAAAGAAGCGGGGCATTAAATCCTATAATTTGTCACTAGGAAAATCGTCCCTGCGGTTAGTGGCAGAGGATTCATGATGTGTGTTACATTTTTAGATATAGGCATCTTGTGTGATAGAATTGGCTAGCCCAGTCTCTTCCTTGTTGATTAACATTTATTGAGGATCTGTGCAATAGAAGACATGATCTCTGCTAGCAAATAGCCTATGGTCTATTTACAAAGAAGGAACATACTCGGGAAGAAGAAATTTTTGAAAAATGTTATGTTGCTGCATTTGTTTTTATATCATCTTTATTTCCAAATATAGGGAGCTGTCCCTTGTAACAAAGAATTAAAAATGGGAGAGAAAAAGTTAAGTTCAGCAAAAATAACCAACACATCAACCACATCTTACATTATATTCAGTGTTCAACATCCATAGTCCCCCACTGTGCAAAGCAGGAAAGGGGATACTTTTGAAGATGAACATTTTTATGGAACATGTAAATAAAAATAAATATCGTACAAATTGTACATGTAAGTATTTTTAGTCTCCTAATTAAAAGTGAAAAAAGAACAAAGTGAGGTTAATTAAGGAAGTCTTTCTGAAAGAGACTATATACAGAATTTATTTTTTAAGTACCAATGAAATGTGTATCTGTCTCCACCTCATAGTCTTTCCTTGTTGAAAGAGTTTTTTGACTAGGGTCTAATCTGTATGTCTGGGACATAGATCATTTTCATGTCCATTTTTTCCCAGAGGGAGCTGGGGACCTTTGCTCAAAGTTCCGTTGTCCTTCACCATCAATTCAACCCCAAGTTTCAGACCATGTTCCAGCCGTGTAACCTGAAGGGTGCTATGCAGCTTATTGAAGACTTTCACTCACACATCCACATTGACTGGAGCCCTCGGAAAAATGTCAAGAAGAGTGGTAAGGAATAGAGTGCTCAAATTAATATCCAGCAGTGGTTCTAGGTGCATGATGGTCTTGGTTCTCTAAGGAAAGTAACACATGTGACTAGAGTGGGGAAGAGAACAGGATAAGCTTTGTGCATTCCCTCCTTCTCCTTTTCCTTTTTCTAGGACCTCCATGATGTTTTAGTCCAGGAAGAAAGTATGGATGGTAGACAAAATGGGAGGCAGTATGTAGGGAGAAATGTCAGTACCAGGAGTGGAACTATGTGTGGACAAGGGTGAGGTGAAACATGAGAACTGACTCAGAGCAAAATATAGCTATGGTAGATAGGTAACGTGAATTTATAAAAAAATTTTTAAATTGTCATATTTTCTACAATCCATTCAGTTTATCTGAACCTATGTTTAATAAGGACCTCTTCAATTTCTATAGAATGTTTATAGTATTTAAATTGTCAAAGCAGCCGATTCATTCTCACAAAATTCCTGTGGGGTAAGTAGAGTATGTGGAATTTCCATTTTACACCTAGTTTAAATTGATGCATGGGAGCCAAATAATTTCCTTTGGGTCACAGAACTAGTAGGTGGAACCAGGACTAGAGACCAGAACTTGTAACTCCTGGTACTAACTCTTTTGAAGGACTCAGATGAAGTGAATTTCATTTTGGGGCAAGTTCAGCTCTAGGACTTGGTAATTTTATTCTGATTCAATAGTTCTGGAAAATAGAAATACAATTTTGCTTCTACTTCACATGGATTCGGTAGATTTTATTTTGGTAAGTGGGAAACTTGATTTGGTTTGCTGTTCACTAAAAAAAAAATTTAGCGGCCTCAGACCAAACACTTGACACTTACTAGCTGTGTGACCTTGGGCAAGTCACTTAACCCCAATTGCCTAAAAAAAAAAATTTAGATCTTATTTGGTTCAAGTAGATATGTGAAAAAAATATGCTGTAGAGTTATGGGGCTTGAGTTGACAGAGTGAAAACAGTGGAAAAGTTCAAAGAATATTATAACGATTTAATGGCAGCTTTGTTTAAATGCACTGACCTGTACTATAAGACCTATGCCATATAGTTCCAGATTTCTCTGAATCATAGATTTTTCTTACAGCCAGTGAATTTCCTTGTCTGCCTAAGCAAGTGGCCTGGATTCTGGCTACAAGCAAGGTCTTCATGTATCCAGAGCTGCTACCAATATGTTCCTTGAAGGCCAAGAATCCCCGGGACAAGATATTCTTCACAAAAGCAGAGGACAAGTATGTTTTCACTATCCAGAAAGAAGAAAAATAAAAAACAGAATGAGGAGGAGTCATAGTCCCAACTCTTTAGGGGCTGCCACTTTAATGTAATGTCGTGGATAGAATAGAAACAATAAGACAGACATCAAAAAGAGAGAAATTAGTACAGAAGACCTGGTTGGACAGAGTTGTTGCCATCAGCCATCAATGGCTGGGGACAGAGAGAAAGGAGATTGTAGAACTAGAGTGGGGCAGGGAATGAGTCTTGGGGATTTGGAGAAGTATTTGGAGGGAGAAGAGACAAAACCTGTTTTTGAGTATGTGCATCTTTTTCAGTTTATTAGCTTTGGGGCTGAAACATTTTGAAGGCACTGAGTTTCCAAAGCCTCTAATCAGTAAATACCTCCTGACTGCCAAGTCTGCTCACCAGCTGACAGTGCGAATCAAGAACCTCAACATCAACAGGGCTCCTGACAATATCATTAAAGTGAGCTGCCCCTTCTAATTCAGACGCCCTTGTTTTGAAGCATTGTGTTAAACGTTGCCATCATGTACCTTCCTTTCGCCCTCTGTACACACATACCCTTCATTTACTCAAGAAGAAGCTTCTATTTGCCCAGGGTGAAGGCAGTGGGTGCCCTTCTCTTGACTGTTTGCCTTGTTACTGCACTTCCCCATGGGGAATTGAGCAGGACTTGAGCAGTGTGACTGCTTTATCTTCATTTCCTCACTTACTTCCCCTTCCCTCCCCTCTTCCCAGCTGAGTCTAGGGGACAAAGAAATGGGACATTGGAACAAGGGTGGGATCATGCTCATTGAGTGCAGAAACCCCCAACTTGACACGTGTGTGAATCTTATGTCTGCTTGCATCCACAGGAACAGGAAATGCCCTTAATTTCCCATGTGTTACTCCCTTCCCTCTTCCTCCCTCCCAACTCCAACCTGGCTTATAACATGAGGATTATCACTCATGCTTGTTCTGTGTTCTCAGTATTATAAGAAGACGAAGCAGCTGCCAATATTGTTTAAGTGCTGTGAGGAGCTTCAGCCTGATGAGTGGAAGCCACCTGTGGAGAGGGAAGAGCGACATCTCCCATTCTGGTTAAAGGTACAGGCCTTATTGTTCCTCCTAGAAAGACCTACAGAAAACCAGAGATGTCATGGAAAACTCACTGCAAGAGACTTAGAGGGACTAGTCAGGGGTGGGGAACCTGTGTCTTTGAGGCCATATGTGGCACTCTAGGTCCTCAAGTGTGGCCTTTTGACCCAATCCAGGTTTTACAGAATAAATCCTTTCATCAAGGGGATTTATTCTGTGAAGTTTGAATTCAGTCAGAGAGCGGCACTTGAGACCTAGAGGGCTCTATGTGACCTTGAGGCCGCAGGTTGCCCACATCTGGTTTAGTTTAACCCTGCAAGGCAGCAGTCATAGAATTGGGCTGTTAAGAAAGCTTAAGAAATATTCTCATCTACCCTGAACTTCTAACTAGGTAAGAATCTCTTTTGTGTTGGAAGAGATCAGATTCCAAAGGTATGAAGTATTGCATCTAACATTAGACTTTTTCGATGTGTTGATTAGTTGAATTTTTTTTCTCTTCCTCTTTTTTAAAAAATTCTTTGTTATAAGAGATAGCTTTTTGAAAGTGATGAGGGAAAGGGACACAAGAGGAAATCTAGATGATATAAAATCAAAAGATATAGAGAGGCTTAGAAGTCCCACAAAAAGAACCATCAAATGACGTTCTTCTTTCTCTTCAACCCAGGTGGAATAATAACCATAGTGCTTATCTTCCCTGTAGGCCAGCTTACCATCCATCCAGGAGGAACTACAGCACTTAGCTAATGAGCCTGGAGAATCAGGAAATTTATCTGAAGTAGCCGAGCCCAGTTCTGAACCAGGACTTGACAAAGGCAACTTGGAATTGAGGAATGAGAATCGATATCCCCTACTACTGCCCAAGGGTGTGGTGTTAACACTAAAACCACTTGCTAAACGGTTTTCTAGGAGGGCTTGGCGCCAGAGGAGGTCATCAGTCCCAAAGCCCCTCCTTATCCATTCCGGTCCTTCTCTCCAACCTGGCTCCAGTACTGGGAGAACTCCAACTCGATTAACCCAGTCAGAAGCTCCTCCAAGCAAAGTGGTGGTCCGGATTCCCCGGCTGATCCAGCCAGCCACTGTCTTACAGTCAGTGCCTGGAGCTCCACCTCTTAGTGTCACTGGGGGTGATGGCTTTGAGCTTCCCATGGCTTTGCCATCTGTGGCCTCTGAGAATGGAACTTGCCTTCCCCAAACTGTGTCCCAAACCTTGCTCTCCCCCGCCCCAGCAGCCTTCCAGACTAAGGTCATGCTGCCGGCACTTGTCACCTCCAAGCCACGTAAGACAGGGACAAAGCGGGGACCCCCAAAGAAAGAGCGGACCAAGGCCTCCCCACTCTTAAAAGCTGCTCCCATCCTTCGCCCTGCACCAGTCATCCTCACTGTCCCTGCTACTACTGTAAAGGTTGTGAGCCTTAGTAATGGCTGTAATATGATCCAGCCTCTTGGTGCAGCTGTAGCTCAGAGCCCTCAGACAATCCCCATAACGACTCTCTTAGTTAGCCCCACCTCCTTTCCTTGCCCACTGAACCAGCCGCTTGTAGCTTCTTCCATACCACCCTTAATTGTCTCTGGTAACCCTGTGAGTCTCCCTGTGCCACCCACCTCAGAGGATAATGCGCAGGTGAAATCAGACATTTCTTGTCCTCCAGTGGAAGGAAAAAGTACCTTCCCAGCCACAGAGCCCAAATCGGAACCACAGGAATTATCTGCTCTCTGCTCAGCTCTCTCACCCAAAGAGGAACACAGCCCCGTGCCTCCCACACCAGGCAAAGCAACCAGCCAGGAAGACCCATTTGAGGGTAATGCCCATAGCTGGACTGTTGTAAAAACAATGGAAGGGAGGGAAGTCCTAGAACCACTGCCTCAGACCTCCTGGGAAACTCTAACTTTTCTCCCAGGGGATTTGGTGGAAATTGTTAAAGTAGAGCCAGAAGACCCTGGGGAAGAAGTCAGACTGCCCCGGAACAAGTCCCCTGAGCAGAATATCTGTGGTGAAATCAAAGAAGAGGTCTCTGTGGAGCTGGATACAGGTCCTGCAGGTGAGGGGGCAAATACTACCCAAGAGGTAAAGAAAGAGGCTGTTTTACAGGAGGAGGAGAGAGGTGAGACGACAGAGATATCTTCAGTTCCGCATGAGACTCAGGGGGAAGGGAGCACAAGAGGAGAGTTGAGCAAAGGGTCTCCCAAGAATATTTCCTCTCCTACTAACCCTGCTGCCCTTAGTAGTCCCCTAGAGAAGCCTGAAGATTCATCCAGTTTTGATGGCCAGTCAGTGGGAACCCCAGCTGGCCCAGAAACAGGGGGTGAGAAGGATGGGCCAGAAGAGGAAGAGGAAGAAGATTTTGATGATTTCACACAAGATGAGGAAGATGAGGAGATGTCATCAGCTTCTGAAGAATCTGTGCTCTCAGTTCCTGAGCTTCAGGTAGGTGTTTAGGATACCTACACTGGAGTAGTTGAAGACTCAAATAGATGTATTTAGTAGGTAGTCATATTTCAGTTCTCTGTGCTATAGTGTATGAGGAGTGGTAGGAATATTTAAGAACAATAGTACAGATAATCTTGAAGTCATTTATATTGAACTTTGGAATGTAGTGTGTTTGTTTTTTAGCAAATTTACCCTTTCTACTTGTGTTTCACTTAGAATAGTATTAAAATGAGTGGGCATTTCCTGTGCACATATTGAATGATTCCTAGAGGAGCTGGCAAAAGGATTGTACATTTTCTGTGGATGATCCACATTCTGAAAATTTAAGAATTAATTATGTGTACAATTGAATGAAGGAGTATGATTGGATTTACTTGGAAGTTAGTGATGGAGAAAGGAGGGACAGTTATGAATCAACCTGAAAAGCTTTCTGAAGGAGATGTTCTAAGTAGTTTAAACATATCAGCATAGAGGAACCTTTCAAAGGTTAGCATCCCTCTTCTCTGTCATTCAGGAAAGTTGGCAGTAATCTTACCCATCTCTTATTCTTCATTTTTTTTTTTTTTTTTTTGGTGAGGCAATCGAGGTTAAGTGACTTGCCCAAGGTCACACAGCTGGTACATGTCAAGTGTTTGGTCTGAGACCGGATTTGAACTTCGGTCCTCCTGACTTCAGGGCCAGTGCTGTATCCATTGCGCCACCTAGCTGCCCCCTTATTCTTCATTTCTTAACTCAAATAGGGAATCATTTCCTGATATTTGAGATGTTTTCCTTCCTGTCATTCCTTTTAAAAAATTTTTTTTAAATCTTGTTTGATCATATCATATAAGCTAGTGTATGCACAATTGAAACTCCCACAATATACAATTCCTTAAAAGAGATTAGTAGAAGAACATAAAAGTAATTGTGACTCACAGGCAATACTATCTTATTCTTAAGTAGGTTTTAGTTTTTTTGTTTTTTTTTTAAGAGAAGGTATATGTTTTGTAAGTTAGTATTTTTAGTTGTAATTCAAAGTTGTCTTTGTGTACCTGGTTGCAACAGTTTTGTATATTTTTTTTGTTTTGCTTTGTTCGCTGCATCATTTCATACAGTTCTTTCCAGATCTCTTTGAATTTTCATTTTCCATTATTCCATATCATACATGATGGTTCATTGTATCCATATACCACAGTTCAGCCAGTTGGGTCCAGTTTGTTTCCAATATTTGGCTATTACTAGGTTTTACTTTAAATCTTTTCATATAATTGTTTTCATAACCTCCAGTTGTAGGGAGAATGACTTCATCCCTTCTTAATGCAAACTGGTAAAGTTGGTATAATTGACTCCCAAGTATCTACATTTATCTGAATGGTTTTGTAGGAGACCATGGAGAAGTTAACTTGGCTGGCTTCCGAGAGACGCATGAGCCAAGAGGGGGATTCTGAGGAAGAGAACTCCCAGGAAGAGAATTCAGAGCCTGAGGAAGAAGAGGAAGAGGAGGTTTCAGAGGGAATGGAGAACCTGCAGAAGGAAGATGAAATGATGGATGAAGCAACTGGAGGTCCTGTTGAGAAGCCTCCTTCCACATTTGCTTCACCTAAAGTAACCCCGGAAGTAGAAACCAGCAGGATTCCCTCAGGTGAGACCATTCACTGTTCTTTGGCAATGATAGGATAAGAAATGGAGAGAGCCTGGGTCAGAGTTAAGTTTCAAATGGGCTTGCAGGATTTCCAGAGAAATACTACTAATATTTAAAATTTTTAGCTCTCTTTTATGTTCCCCAGAATACATGACATAGAATTTAGTACACAGTATGTATTCAACAAATACTTATTGGTTCAAAATCTCATCAGTTATCATATTCACTTTGGCTTTGCCAAGGATTTTTTTGTTTTTTAAAGTACCAATCCCTCCCCATTTTTTTTTTTTTTTTAGATATGAAGCTGAGATATGTATACCTGCAATAGAAATGATCTTTCTAAGGCTTACCATGTCATTCCCCCTACACAGTAAACACCAGTGATTCCCTATCACCTCCAGGATCAAATTTAAAATCCTTTGTTTGGTGTTTAAAGCCTTTCATAATTTGCCCTCCCCTTCTTATCCAGTCTTCTTATATCACTCCATATACTCTGAGCCAGTGACCCTGATCTACTTAATGTGTTCCTCAGACAAGACACTTCATCTCCAGAATTAAGGCATTTTCTTTGGCTGTCCTCCATTATTGGAATTCTATATATTCTAATCTTAACTTTCTCTAAGTACCAGCTAAAATCCTACCTTCTACAGAAAGGCTTTTCCAATCACCCTTAATGCTAGTGCCTTCCTTCTGTTGATTGTTTCCAATTTAACCTACACGGTTATCCCTTCCACATTTCAAGGGTTAGGGGTGCTGTGCCCTTGTGTAAAATTTTTTGACCCTCCCTTTGTACCGGAGAAGAAGAAATTGTGTATATATGGTATTAAAAGATAAAATGTTGGTATTATACAGTACTATACATATATTTTAAGCATTTCTGACTTTCTAAACTTTTTCTGTATCTTCTGCTGGCCTTCATGTGTTGTCTTTGGCTTCCACAAAACTCCCCAAATATTCCAATTTAAATTCTTCTGCTGACCCACAACATATTGCAGCCATGATGGGGACAGTCACAATGTGGAAGGGATAGCTATATATAACTTGTTTGTACATAATTTTTTGCATATTTTTTTCCCAGGATCAACTGAGTTCCTGAGGATAGGGAATTTTTTTTGCCTTTACAATCCCTGCGCTTAGCATAATGCCTGCTGAAGTACATACTTAATGTTTATTGACTGAATTGACTGACCCTTCGAAAACAAAGAGAGACCCCTGAGGTCCCACAACAAAGGAGAAATTGAACCTTATTCAGATTCTCTGAAATCTTTTAGGCTATAGGCCCTTGCCAGTAGGTACCACTGCATATATAGAGATGGAGATATTTTACTCTCCCTTCCTATCACAGTTGGCTTGGCTAGACAAAGGAGGTTTTAAGGTTTATCACTTTTCCTCATAACCTTTATTTAACTGGTCATCATTGTCTTCTGTTGTATATTACTCCTAACAGCTAGGTGGGGCAGTAGATAGAGCGCTAGGCCTGGATTCAGGAAGACTCATCTTCCTGAGTTCAAATCTGGCTTGAGACACTTACTATTTGTCGACCCTAAGTAAATCACTTAATCCTGTTTGCCACAGTTTCCTCATCTGTGAAATGAGCTAGAAAAGGAAATGGCAAACCACTTCAATATATTTACCAAGAAAACCTCAAATGGAGTCACAATGAGTCAGATACCACTGAACAACAACATTGTCATCTGTTGTGGATTAATCCAACTTTGGACTCTAGTTGGGATAGTGTGGATCACCAGAGGAAAAAAAAAACATTTGATCTATTATTTTAGGTGAAAGCACCAAAGCTGTTGGAAAAGCCCGGGGCAGTCATCGAGCTCGGAGCAAGAGGGGCCGGACCCGAGCCAGCAAGGATACCTCCAAGCTACTCTTGCTCTATGATGAAGACATCCTGGAGCGAGACCCCCTGAGGGAACAAAAGGATCTGGCATTTGCCCAGGCCTACCTGACCAGAGTGAGCAAAAGCCAACTCCTCTGTCAGCCAGTCAATACCACTTCTTCCCTGTATGCAAAGTCCTGTGTCTAGATAATAAGGAGAAAGCTAGAGGAAGGAGTCATGGTTCCCTGCCTTCAAGGAATTTGCAGTGTCATGGAGTTATGATATGCCCCCTTAAGACTATAGGCATATTTACAGTGGTATTCATGGTAGAGTCAGGAGTGGGATGCTTGATGTCAGATTCCTAGGCCACAGATTTTGCCTTGTTTGAGGTTAGATTATTAAAATTAGACTCCTGAGAATTGCATCCTGGGCCATCTCCAATTGTCCTGATCTATGGACCCAGATCGCTCTGGAGGAGAAAGTGAGGCTGGTGACTTTGCATTGCCCTCCTTTACATAAATCCAATTCACTTATAAGTCATGGCATCACCTCCCTGATGTCATGGTCCTCTTTGAGAATGAAGGACAAACTAAAAAAGAAAAAAAAATATAAAAAGAAAAGGGACAGCTAGGTGGCGTAGTGGAGAAGGGGCAGCCAGGTGTCACAGTGGAGAGAGCACCAGCTCTGAAGTCAGGAGGACCTGAGTTCAAATCTGGCCTCAGAGCAAACACTTGACACTTACTAGCTGTGTGACTCTGGGCAAGTCACTTAACCTCAATTGCCTAAAAAAGAAAAAAAAATGTAAAAAGAGAATGAAGGACAAACAACAACAACATGAAAATGAAAGTTTGAGTGGTACTTTTGTTTATATTCCTTTTATGAAGCAGCTTAGCCTCATATTTAATACAAAGTATTTTCTTTGTCAAGGAAAAGAAATGTTTTCCTCATTATACTCCTGTGTTTCATTATTACAGTTTTAAAGTCCTTTATAGGTTTTAACTTTCCTTCCTTCAGTTTCCAGAAATGCAACTAGAATAGCCCCTGATATCATTAGGTTCCATGTATGTAATATCCTCTGGGTTCCCCTCCAAATCTCTCCCAGTAGTTATTCTCTGGTCTCTTCCCAGTTATTGGAGGCCAAAGATTTGAGGTTCTGATGACTGAATACTCTTCCTCAGGTCCGTGAGGCCCTACGCCATGTCCCTGGCAAGTATGAGGACTTCCTGCGTGTCATTTATGAGTTTGAGTCAAGCACACAGAGACGGACGGCTGTGGATTTGTACAACAGTCTGCAGACCCTACTCCATGACTGGCCTCAGCTACTGAAAGATTTTGCTGCATTCCTGTTGCCAGAGCAGGCCTTGGCCTGTGGGCTAGTAAGTGGATAGAGAGAAGAGAATGGCCTCCTGTCTTCTGGTGTGATGAGCATGGAGTCCGGAGAGGGGTTGAAATGAGAAGAGTTGGTCCTCAGTATTGGAGATTGAAAAAACATAGTCAGAGGATATCTCATCTACTACCCTTCCTTCCTGCCAAAGAGGAACATAAACATAAGTTCCACCAATTGATCAATTATTAAGTTTTTATAGGCCTTCTACTTTCAGCCTCTTTTTTTTTTTCCTTTGGTTCTGTTCTTCAGCTGGGATAGAAAATAGTTGGTTCCCATTCCATTTCCCACATCAGTACATACTGAGTATAGTCTGAATCTGCCCATTTCCATGAGTCCATCATCCTTACCTCAGTTATCCAGAATAGAACAGCTGTGATGGTTAATTTCCAGGGGAGAGAGGTCAGTACCAAAGCTTGTAGCATGATTTGTATAAATTTTTTCAACTGCATTTGGAGGTTTTTCACCTTCTTCCCCAGCTCAGGGTTTTTATTTCTAGATCTTAAAGGGCAGGGTGGAAAGTATTGGGAGCCCTGGGAGTGACCCTTTCCTGGTTCTCTTTCCTGGCAGTTTGAAGAGCAGCAGGCCTTTGAGAAGAGCAGAAAATTCCTTCGGCAACTGGAGATTTGCTTTGCAGAAAATCCTTCACACCATCAGAAGATCATCAAGGTCCTGCAGGGCTGTGCAGACTGTCTCCCACAGGAGATCAGTGAGGTAATATATCCCAGTTCTACCTCCTCCCATCTCCACCATGGCCTTTCTGAAGGACAAAAAGGAGCTTAGAGCTTTTTATGTTTTTGGGGAAAACTGAAAGATGGAGGGGGCAAGAATCTATGGTCAGACCAGAAGCCTTAACCCTTAGCCTTCCCAGGTCCAGAAAGGACTGATTTTTGTCTACTTAGAGGAGTATCCTTGGCTAGCAGTTTTCTTTCTGATGTTTGGGAGGAACAGAATGGGAATAATCTTGAATCTTCCCTCTGTTTCTTAAGAGCAAAGAGAAGAAGCAACAGAAAGTTAGAAATTTCCAGCAACGAAAGCAGTGGTCGTATTGCAGTTGAATGACCACTTCTCAGGGATGTATAGAGAGGATTGCCATGGAATAGAAGGTTGGATTATATGACCTCTAAGGTCCTATTCAGTTCTTAAGATTCTGAGATTTTAAGGCCAGCAGGGTTGGTTTGGAAGAGGTGGCAAGCTATGGTTTTGAGAACTCTTAGCCTTCTCTCTAACTTTTCAAGCTTAAGACTCAGATGTGGCAGCTGCTTAAGGGCCATGACCATCTTCAGGACGAATTTTCTGTCTTCTTTGATCATCTTCGACCAGTGGCTAGTCGACTGGGTGACTTCGAGGAGATCAATTGGACCGAGGAGAAAGAGTATGAGGTGCAGATCCTGAGACTCCTGAGGGATTTAGGGATAAGGGTGGGCAGTAGCAGAGAATCCATGGGAGCAGCAGAGTCTGACCAAGTTGGCACTGTTTCTTCTTTAGTTTGATGGTTTTGAAGAAGTGGCTCTCCCAGATGTGGAAGAAGAAGAGGAACACCCCAAGATGTCTACAGCCTCAAAAAACAAGAGGAGAAAAGATGTTGGGGGCCAGAACCATGACAAGGTTGGTCATAGCTAATTATTTCTTCTCTACTTCCCCCCATCCCCCTTTCTCCAGTGTTAGGTGGTTCTGTGTTACCATCTTTCAGATTAATTGCTGAGGAGACTTATGGTACTTTAGAAGAGATAGAGATGTCATAGGCTGGTGTGGGGATAGTATAGAAGATCTGCATAGGATATGAGTGGTTTGGATTGGATGAGTTCCAGGGTCCATTCTAGCTCTAAATTTGTGGGCCAATGTATCCAAGACACGATCATTCAGAGAAATTATCCGCTGTTCACCCTTTTCCTTGTATTCCTTGTATATAGTAGAAATGAGGAACTAAGAAACAGCCAGTAATTGCCTTTAGCCCCCTGAGAACCTTTACTACTAGGTGGAGAGAAATCTGGTTGGTTGGGTGATGCCAAAGGAAATCTGTCAGTCAGTTTATTGAGCATTTGCTATGTTCAAAGTCTTGTCTTGGGAAGAAACAGACACAACTGCAAATGAATCGACAGGTCACATAGCCTTTCAGTGAACCCAGGGAATGGCCTTTTTTGGGGTGTTAATTAAAGTTAGTTGAATATTTATATTCAATTAATAGATGCCTGAAATAAATAGGGAATATATTGGTCAGGCTTTTTTTTTTTTCTCATACAGAGATTTCATTTGTAATGGTTTTTGCTCTGATGTGAAGCTGAGCCCTGAGTGCTTAGAGCAGAGCAATGTGATTAGAATGGGACTTGAGTTATGGGGTGCTTCCCAGAGCCTGGACCTGTCTGCCTAGATCAGCCTGGTGACTAGGCTGCCAACTGAACCCATGTGTCTTCTAGGAAACAGAATGGCCAGATGGCCCCAAGGATTGTGTCTGTTCCTGCCATGAAGGCAATCCTGACCCCAAGCTAAAGAAGAACAGAAGGAGAGGTTGCAGCCATTGCAGCAGCAAGGTCAGCTGGGTGAGAAAGGAAGCAAACAGGGTGGGCATGGGCATGGAGGAGTGGGGTTGGTCACAGGTGCATCTGAACTCAGGCCTGACTGAAGCCCATCCTCCTTCCCTCAGCCTGGGCCTTTCAGATAGTCTCCTCATCTCTAGAATGAGGTTGGACTAGATGGCCTTCAACATCCCTTCCAACACTAATATGCATTGTCTGTGGGCTTAGAATATCTGAAATAAATTCCTGACTTCTTACCCTGCTTAAACTACTCAGGTCTTGGAACTGGTTAGTTACTTGTACAAATCTAATTTGCTTTAGAATTCCATCTGACTTTCAGCTAAAACCTGCAATAGGTGTTTTCTCTTTATTAAACTGTGAGCTCCTTCCAGAGTAGGGACTATCTTGCTTTTTCCTTGTATCTCCATCACTTAGCACAATGCTTTGCACGTAGTAAATACTTAATAGATTCTTTTTCATTCATTCATTTACACAAGTAGCTTAATTCATCAAAAGGCTAGAGCAGCTAGGTGGCACAGTGGATAGATCTCTGACCTTGGAGTCAGGAGGACCTGAGTTCAAATGTGAACTCAGACACTTGATATTTACTAACTGTCTGACCCTGGGCAAGTCACTTAACCCTGATTGCCTCACCAAAAAAAAGAAGAAAAAAAAGAAATGATGAGCTCAGTCATCTTAGAAAAACATGGAAAGACTTGTCTAACCAAAAAAAAAAAAGGCTTTAAGTCAAACTTTATAATAGAATCTTAGTTTAAATTTATTCACCAAGCATTTATTAAGTACCTAGGTAGCTTGGGGGAGTCCTCTTGTAAAAGGTAGTACTTGTACTCAACCTTGAAGGAAGCTAGGGATTCCAATAGTTGGAGGTGAAAAGAGACTCTGTTCCAGACCTGGGGGAAAGTTTGTGAGAAGATGGGAATGTACAGGCATTAGGGTATGTGAATGAAGGTAATGTGTAATGAGTCAGGTTGTGAAGTGCTTTAAATGCCAAAAGAATTCGCCTGTTATCATAAAGGAAAGAGGGAACCATTGTAGCTTTTTGAGAAGGGGAGCAACATACTTAAACGGTGCTTTAGGAATATCGATTTGACAGGTGAGTGGAATATGGAATGTAGAAGGGAGAAGCTAGAGGCAATGGAGAACAGTTAGGAGGCCTCTGTTTAACTGGGCAGGTGAAATAAGGGCCTGAATCAATGTGAATGGAAAAAAGGGGACAGTTTTGAGATATCTTCTAGAAGTAGAAATGACAAGACATGGCAGCTAATTGGATATGAGCTGAGAGTAGAAAGAGTTCAGGATGACTTTTAATTCATAAACCTGGAGAAATGGAAGAAAGGGTAGTGATGTCCTCAACATAAATATACAAGTTAGGAAGAAGGAAGGATTTAGTAATGAATTTAGTGAGTTGTGTTTTGGACGTGCTAAATTTGAGGTACCTATGGGGACAAGAGTTCAAAATATCCAATAGACAGTGATGTAGAAATGGTGCTCTGGAGAAAAGTGAAGGCTGTATAGAGTTGGGTGGGAGTTATTTGCATAGCAATGGTAGTTGGGAGCTACTGCGGTCATTCTTTAGAGGAGGGAGAAAAGGCAAGACACCTAGAACAGTTTGGAGCACACCTATACAGGGTAGAAGACCTAAAAGGAGGGGCCACACAAGAGAAGAAGCTGGAGAGAACATTAAATGAAAGTTGTCAAATACTGCAGTGAGGTTAAGAAGAATGAGGATTTAGTAGATTTAGTAGAGACCATTAGATATGGCATTAGAGTTTTGGAAACCTTAGAACTCTTTCAGTTGATTGGTGCTAGATTGCAAGGGTTTGAGAAATGAATGAGATGTGGATTCAACAAGTATAGTCAGACTTTTTTTTTTTAATTAACAAGCATTTCTTTTTTTCTCTCCTACCACCCAAGATAGCTTTTTTTTTTTTAGTTTGGCTATAAAAGGGAAAAAGAATTATCATAAGATCAAGTAGTTTTTTAAAGAATTGAGAAGACATTTGTAAGCAGCAGGAGAGGAAGCAGTAGACGGGGAAAATTGCAAATTAGACAAGATGATTTTGGGGACAAGATGCCAGAAATATGGAATGAGATGAAGGACACAGGCAGATATATTGTCCTATAAGAAGAGATGCCTCTTCGGGGACTGGAGCAACGGGAGAAAGAATGGAGGCTGAATAGCAAAAGGTTTAGGGAACATACAGCTTTTTAAAGGGAATCTTGCAACGCCTATTTAAACTTTATGCATTCATATATTTTTAAGAAATATTTATTAATTTTTTTAGCATCACTTAAATATGCCAAGGTAACCATTCTCGCCCATCTCTGAGAGTCATCCCTTATAATAGAGAGTTTTAAAAGTTCAGCAAAATTAACATATCAAAAAAGCCTGACCTTTCCACTCCTCTTATCTTGTACCTCTAGAAAGAAGGGAGGAAGAGACTGGGGTGGGATGGGTGACCAGTGCTTTCTTATCTTTCTTGTTTTGAGCCAAGCTTGGGTCTTATAATCAGATTTTTTCTGTTATGTTTTTTTTTCTTTTTTTTCTTTAAATTTTTTGTTACATTTTAAGTTCTAAACTGTATATATGTGAAAACCATACAATGCATACTTTTTATTTATCAGTTCTTTCTCTAGAGGTAGATAGCATCTTCCTTCATAGGTTCTTTGGAGTTGATTTGAGTATTTATAATACTCAGAATAACTTAGTCATTCACAGTTAATCTTTGAACAAAAAGCTGTTACCGTATACATTCTCTATGATCTGCTCATTTCACTCCATTATATCATGCAAGTTTTTCCACATTTCTCTAAAATCAACCTGTTCATCATTTCTTACAGCACAGTAGTATTCTATCACAATCACATACCACAACTTATTTAGCCATTCCCCAATTGATGGACATCCCCTCAATTTCCAGTTCTTTGCCACTACAAAGAGAGCTGCTATAAATATTTTGGAACATAAAGGTTCTTTTCCTTTTTCCCTGATCATCTTGGGAAACAGACCTAATAGTGATATTGTTGAGTCAGAGGGTATATACAATTTTATAACTCTTTGGGCATAATTCCAGATTGCTTTCCAAAATGGTGAGATTAGTTCACAGTTCCACCGGTAGTGTATTAGTGTCCCAGTTTTTCCACATTCCCTCCACCCTTTGTTATTTTCCCCTTCCATCATTTTAGCCCATCTGATAAATGTGATATGGTACCTCAGAGTTGTTTTAATTTGCATTTCTCTAATCAGTAGTGGTTTAGAGCATTTTTTTGTATGATTATCGATAGCTTTGATTTCTTCATCGAAAAACTGTTCATATCCTCTGACCATATTTGAATTGGGGAATGAGTCATATTTTTAATAAATCTGACAAAGTTTATGTGTGTGTGTGTGTGTGTATATACACACATACATATACATATATACATACACACACGTACATATACACACACACATATGTATTTGAGATATGAGACCTATATCTGAGAAAGTATAAAGTTCTTCCCCAATTTTCTGCTTTCCTTCTAATCTTGGATACATTGGTTTTATTTGTACAAAAACTTTTAAACCAAATTTTCTGCTTTGTGTCTTACAATGTTTTTATCTCTTGTTTATTCATATATTCTTGTCTTGTCTATAAGTCTGATAGGTAATATGTTCCATGTTCTTGTAACTTGCTTATGATATCTCCCTTTACATCTAGGTCAAGTATCCATTTTGACCTTATCTTGGTAATGGTGTAAGATATTGGTCTATACCCAATTTCTGCCAGACTGCTTTCCAATTTTCCCAGCAATTTTTACCAGATAGTGAATTCTTATACCCAAAGCTTAAATCTTTACGTTTATCAAACACAAAGTTACTATAATCATTTACTACTGTGTATTGTATTTCTTCTGTGTTCCACTGATCCACCTTTTTAGTTCTTAGCCAATACCAGATAATTTTGATAATTACAGCCTTATAATATAAAGGTCTCGTACTGCTCAACTTCCTTTTTTTATATTTGTTTTCATTAATTTCTTTGATTTCTTGAACGTTTGTTCTTCTGAATTCTATTATTTTTTTCTAGCTCAATAAAATAATTTTTTGGTAATTTAATTTGAATGGCATTGAATAAATAGATTAGTTTAGATAAAATTGTCATTTTTATTATTTTGGCTCTGCCACCCATGAACAATTAGTGTTTCTCCATTTATTTAAATCTTAATTTATTTGTATAAAAAGTGTTTTATAATTATGTTCGTGTAGTTCCTGGGTTTGTCTTAGCAGGTATATTTCCGTGTATTTTCTGCTATCTGTGGTTATTTTAAATGGAATGTCTCTTAACTATTTTCTTCCTGCAAAGTTTTGTTGGGGATATAAAAATGCTGATGATATATATTTGTAAGTTCATTTTATATCCTGCTACTTTGATAAAATTGTTGTTTCCATTAGCTTTTTATTTGAATCTGTAGGATTTTCCAAGTATATCATCATATCATCTGCAAAAAGAGATAGTTATTACCTCATTGACCATTCCATTCTTATTCCCAATTACTTTTTCTTTTCATATTGTTATTGCTAGCATTTCTAATATTTGGTAATAATGGGCATCCTTGTTTCACTTCTGATCTCACCAGGAAGGCTTCTAGCTTATCCCTGTTAAAAATAATGCTTGCTCATGGTTTTAGGTAGATGCTTATCATTTTAAGGAAAAATCCATTTTTGCCTATGCTTTCTTTTTGTTTGTCTTTTGAGGCAAAAAACAAAGTGACTTGGCCAGGATCACACAGCTAATGTCTAAGGCCACATTTGAACTCAGGTCCTCCTGATTCTAAGGCTGGTGCTCCATCCACTGTACTACCTAGCTGCACCATGCCTATGCTTTCAAGCCTTTTTAATAAGAATGAGTGTTGTATTTTGTCAGAAGCTTTTTCTGCATCTACTGACATAATCATGATTTTTGTTACTTTTGTTAATAATTTTCCTTATGTTAGACATTCCCTGCATTCCTGGTATAAATCTCACTTGGTCACAATGTGTATAATATTGTTGTAGTCTCCTGGCTAGTATTTTATTTAGGATTTTTGTATCTATATTCATTAGTGAAACTGGTCTATGATTTTCTTTCTTTGCTTTTGCTCTTCCTGGTTTAGGTTTCAGGACCATATTTGATTCATAAAAGGAGGTTGGTAGGACTTCTTCTTGGCCTACTATTCCAAATAATTTATTTATTGGAATTGGTTGAGCTTTAAATATTCAGTAGAATTCACTTATAAATCCAGCTGGTTCTGATGCTTTTTTCTTAGGAAGCCAATTTCTGACCTGTTCAGTTGTTTGTTTGTTTGTTTGTTTGTTTGTTTTTAAAATAGGTCTATTTAGATATTCTATTTTTCTAAGTATTGTTCATTTTACTTAAATTTATTTGCATATAATTGTGCAAAATAACTCCTAATAATTTCTTTGAATGTATGGTTTTCTTAAAGTGAAGCAAAGTTTCATTAGGTACATTTTTGTCAGGAGAGTGTATAATGGACGGGGGAATGGATTAATGGAAGAACCTGGTAGAGTTTTTGCAACGGAATGTGAACATTTGGGTTATGGGATCACATGTTTTCTCTAATTGCCCACTTACATTGAGGAGGTGCAAGGCTCCAAAGTAGGGCGATTAATTTTTCAGTCCTTGGGCCTTCTTCCCTCATTGAGTCCTAAAGGGTTTCATGACTCAGCACCATTCCTACAGGTGTGTGAAAGCAAGGCCTGCAAAAACAAAGAGCCCCACGAGCTGCTGGGTGCAAGCCCTCCTCCTGAGGCCAGCCCTACCCCTGATGCTAAAGAAGCCGGACGAGGCAGAGAGACAGGAGAGGAAGAAGCCCTGGATGAGCAAGATAGCAGAGCCCCTACAGCAGCCAGAAAAGGGGAAATGCCTGTTCCAGGTAAAAACATAAGCATTTATATTAGTTTATCCCACCCTCTTTCCCTAATTGCCTCATGTCTTCACACTGCAAAATAGTTTAATGCTTCAAGCTGCTACTCTCACAAAAATATACTTGTTCTTTGTTTTTCTTGTCAATTCAGGCCTGTTGTAGAGCGATTTGAAGCTCTGACCCAACCCAGTCCTCCAGGCTCTCTTGCCTATCCCCTTGTCTTTTTATGCAAACCTAGGGACAAAGATCTGTCCAGCTTTATTTGTAGGAATTTCATGGTCTTCTAATCTAAGAGGAGCATACTATGGCATATAAGATCCATAATGCTGCCTCCCCCCATCCCTGCCAGCTGACTTTGTCAGCTGATGAGGTCCTCTTTGATCTCTATTTGTTATTTGCTTATACCTGCCCTCTCTTTCTGAGCAGGATTGGAAATGGGAGGAACATTGCTGTCCCCTGGAGAAGGAAATCCCACAGAAAAAGCCCCCTTGGACATCCCAGCACCTTGTTCACCAGAGAGCCCTCAACGTTCCCTTAAAGCTGGACTTGTGCCCAACTCAATCAGAAGCCAAGCTGGAGCTGAAGGAGTCCATACCCCATCCCCCCAACTGCAGACCTTGAGTGAAGCCCAGCAGGCAGGAGCAACATCAGGTTCTGGGAAAGCATTTGCTGTTGCTGGGGGCCCTGCCTCCACTCTGAGCCCTGTGCCCTCTAGCACCACAGATGTTGGGAAAGGACGGGCCTCTGGGCAAGAGAAACCAGACATTCCAGATAGCTGGCTGCATCCTTGCAGGAAATTTGACATTAAGACAGCAAGCAAGGTTCCCACCATCCTTGAATCCCCCTCACCAATAACTACCACGTCAGGGGCTGTTCACAGAGTCCCTGTTGGAGGCTTATCCAAAGAGGACAGTGGCCTGCACAATGTCAGGGGGCCTGATGGAGAGCAACAGCTGAAGGCTTCAGAAGCTACAGTATGTGCCAACAACAGCAAGGTCAGCTCCACTGGGGAAAAGGTTGTCCTCTGGACAAGGTAGGCATGGTAAAACCTTGGGGAGTGGGGAGTTTGGTGAGGATCCCTATGGCCATCTTGTTTCTCTGTGTTATAGGGAGGCAGACCGAGTGATACTGACCATGTGCCAGGAACGAGGGGCACAGCCTCAGACTTTCAACACCATCTCACAGCAATTGGGCAATAAGACTCCTGGAGAGGTAAGGAGGGTTTTGAGATGTAGACTGACAAGAAAAAGCTCACAACTGTTTTAAAGAAACTCTGGGTTCCCAGATTTTTTCTTTGTGGTTTTCCTGAAGTAAAGCATGTATATAATTTTATGAGAAGTGTGGGCATTCAAAATGTTTCATCATATATGGGTGTGGGGGTGGTGGAGCCGTGAGGAAAGGCCAAGAAGAGGAAGTGATACAAACCAACCACTTCACACTCTCAGTGGGCTTTGGGTTCCCAAGATAGTAGGGCAGAATAAAAAGGGTAAACTCGGACCCACAGGAAGCTGGGAAGTGTTACAGTTCTAGGTTCTACTTCTCTGAAAGGCCAATCTTGGTAGAAAAGGAAGCTGGGTTCCATCTCCACAGCAGGAGACAGGATGAAGAGAGAACAAACAAAATAGAAAAAGGGAGTGACAGTTGAGAAAACATCAGAGGCCTAGAGGTTAGATAGTAGTGAGGCAGAAGCCAAGGATTCAAGGCCCAGCTCTGATCCTTACTGGGCATATGATATATGCCAGTCTTCAGTTCCCTTAACTGTAAATTAAGGATAATACTATTACTACCTGCTTCCCAGAGGTTGTGAAAAAGTGCTTTATGAACTGTAATATGAGTTGCTCTTGTCAGGAGTGGGGACTTTAGTCACAAAGCAAAGTCATAGTCATAGAGTCAAAATCAGTATATAGTCACTTCCTTTGTTCTCCCATAGGTTTCACACAGGTTCAGGGAACTGATGCAGCTCTTCCACACAGCCTGTGAGGCCAGCTCTGAGGATGAGGATGATGCTACCAGCACCAGTAACACAGACCAACTCTCTGACCGGGGGGACCTCCTGTCTGAAGAGGAGCCAGATGAGTGAAATTCTGGAGAGACACAGGTGGTGTTTGTACAGGACCAAACAGGAAGACACTCCCTTCCTAGCTCACCATTATGGTCACTTTGGGCTCAGTTTACAAGGCTGGAGGAAGCAGGTAGTCCAAGGAAAAGGAGAGAAATCAGGCTGGGAAGGGGAAGGGCCGTGGGGCTCAGCCTTCTTAATATTTGAAAGGAAGGCCTATTATGAAGGCTGCACTGACCTGATTTGTAAATACTGTACCTGAGGGTTGAGCCTTTCTCCCCTCTACTTTCCATGTTACGTATTTATTGTTTTGTGATCCAATCACCATCTTTCTAAAGCATAATAAACAAGTCCTCTTGGTGTAACTGGCCAGCCTCAAGAGAGAAACTGCTGTACCCAGCAGTCATGTTTATTGAAAACTACTTTATTTTTCCCTCTCTGGGCTGCGCAGTCCATGAAAGAGTCTCAGTTTATGAGGCTATCTCCGTCTTTGTAACACTGGGCCAGGTTGTGCAGCTCCTGTATGGTTTCTTCCATGTCATCTTGTTCCACACCTGCTGCCAGAAAACTGGCCCAGCGTCTCAAGTCAAGGTTGGCCAATTCCCCAGCCAGGCGGCCCAAGGCCCGATGTAGCAGCGAGGAGGAACACAGTGTAGCCAGCACAGGGATAGTCTCCACTGCTGTGGGAGGGATGGTGGAGTCAGAAGTAAGAAAACCCAAGCTGTACCCTCTCTCTAAGACGAAGAGGTCTTGATTTTCTAGAATGGGTAAGGAATGGGCCAGCCCCAGACAAAATGTGGAGTGAGAATTGTCTTTTTCTGTGCCCTTTTCCTAGTTGACGGCTACTGTCCCCCTCATTACCCATGGAAGAGAGAATTCATTCTAATAGGACAGAGCCTTAAGTTAAAGAACCTATGTTGTGGTGGTGTTTGAGATGTCATTGAATTGGGGAGGGGCAGGTGTCCCTTGGGGTCAGGTCTTTATCTCTGTCCCATTTCTTACCTGTCCCATTGTGGGAGCCATCTAGAATCAAACCCTGCTGGTTGAGTCGTGAGGAGAAGAATCGTGGGTATGGAGGTACTACCCTGCATGGACTCAGCAGCAACTGGGAGGAGCTGGGGAGAAATTTTTTTTTTCTGTGCAAAAAGTGTTTTTACCCAAGCTTATGATTCGGCCTTTCTATATCGACTTGCTTAGGTGGGACTGTGGGGTATAATAAAATATGTGTCAGATAGGCAAACAGATGATGAGGCACAGAGGTAAGAAACCTAGTTTACAGGGTCCTTGAACATCACAGCTGCAAGGAATCTTAGAGATCATTATAGCCAACTACCTTGTTATGCACATGCAGAATGTAAGGCCCAGAGAATGGAGTGACTTGGGATGAAACTGGCAAGGGGAGAAGTGAAGGAGCAGGTTAAAGCCAAGAAATTATTGGGGGAAGGAAAGCATGTAAATTTTACATACCTCAGGACCCCAGGTTGCAACTGCTGTAAATACTGGGCCAGCACCTCGTCTCCGCTGTTGCAAGCATGGAGTGGAGAACTTGGTGATGTACCTGGGGAGAGCTGACTGCCCAATGAAACACAGAAACTACTGTTATCCAGAAAGAGTTAAATAAGGAACAGGGGGCACCTGAGACCCCATCAACCTAACTTGACTTTGAAAGCCTTGAGGATGGTTGGAGAAAGGTTATGCTGTTCCACAGCAAACTGCTGAGCATAAATGATGGGAGGACATGCCTCCCTATTCTTTACCTGGTCTGTTGTGTTTTGTCCACACCCCGAAGGACCACAGACTGTGCAAAGCAGCGGGTGCCACTTGGCTCCCCACATGCAGAAAGTGGAGTCCAGGGTATGGTCCCTCCAAATTGGGCCAAGGTATCTGGAAGGGAATGGCCAGGAGCCACTGGGAAAGGGATGGAGGCTCCAGCTGTGACCACCTGAAAGTGGAGAAGAAAATCAGGTTATGGGTCCCTTGATTTTTTATTCACTAATTACTTCTAAATTTCCCCACTGGGTTTCCACACCTTTCTCCCAGAAAAGCTCAGCATGTCAGCCAGATGCACCATGGAAATTGAGGAGGAACACAGTCGGTAGGGGACGGTGATCGTGTCTAGAGCTGTAGCCAGGAGAGCACTGCTGTGATAGGGCAGTGTGACCTGAACAAAGGAAAAGGAATAATTAGAGAGGGCTACTTCACTACTGGAGTCCAATGAAGGCAGATGTCAAGTATCCTGTGTAGTGGTGGTGGGGGTAGGGAAACTAGCTAGGCAGAGATAAGTATGATGAATAGGATCTAGTATGCTTTATTTTCAGCCTGTGGCCTAGAATTCCCCTCTTTCCCAGTAAGGAACAAATTGGATCCCTGAACACACACAGCTAAGAGACTTACATCATAACGTAAATGTGGAAAGTTGACTGGAGGCTCAGGCCGAAGCCCTAGGCCACCCCCGAGGGACAGTGGACAGACAAGTGAGCTGTGAGCAGCAATGTTCACAAGGCCTAGGGCAGTGTTGAAGAGACGATAGAAGTTTTTCTGGGGCTCCTAGTGGAAGAAAGAAAAGGATGGTGCTAATGGCACCTTTCTCACCTCTCTCAATACAGACCCTTCAGGGGGCAAAGTAGTAGGGCTACCTTTTTCTCTGTGTCACTTACCCCTAGAGTATAGGGTCCAGGGAGTAGCCCCCAAGTCAAGATTCCCCGTCCAGCATACTCATCCTGAAGCAATTCTGTTGCTTTAGCTCCTAGGCCAGAGAAGCCATCATGGAGGTCACATAGGACTTGGAAACCCTTGACAGGGAAGAAAAATTATTGACTGATGGGGAAGACATAGACCCTCCCTTGTGCCCACTTAGCCCCTCAGATACCTGCAAGTAGTCACACTCTTCCACATAGAAGTGTAGTCTGTCCTCAAGCTCTTCCAAGTAGGTAGGCTCCCTTAAGAGGCTTTCACCTTGGCCAAAGCCCTCTAGACGGCCTGCCTCCCTGCCAAACACAAACCCCATGACTCAGCAAGAGCTGTTCTAGCCATAGTTGGGGATATAAGCAAACTTCCACCAGTTCCCAGGGCCCTCATACCCATCATGGTTGTACTTCTGGATAATACAGATACTTCTGGGGTGTAGCTGCACATGAAGGAAGTCAGACCAGACCTTGATGCTGCCCTCAGGAGGGATTAGTGATTTAGGGTTGGGGGGAAAGGCTTTGGCAAGTGATGGAATACCTGTGGAGAAGAAATGGGGGAGAAAGGCTTTTGTAACAGGCTTTGGGGTCTGGTTGCCCAGTTTACTTCCTCTCCCTCTGCCAAAGATCTCACCTTTACCATTGGGAAATGTTTGGACCCTCCAGACACCATCGCTACTCATCACTCCCTAAGAGAAATAACAAAATCCACACTTAACCCCATTCATCCTAGGGAAGAGTTGGCATACCAGTGAAAGCCTTAGTGTGCCTTGTCATCTAAAATTATTGAAAGGAGTTCATTTATAACTGAAGAAAAGATCACCCATTAATGTAGACTGCTTTCTCAAATTTTGTTGGATACCAACAAAAGCGTGGACAGTAAGGTAAAATAATCTAAATCACTTTGGGGTAACTGAGGATGCTTCCTTTGCTTCTAATGGACCAAGTCATGTTATATAGGTTGCTGAAGTGATACAAACAAGAAGTCAAAGATTCGCTACTATAATGTAGGCACTGTTCTTAAAATGGGAAGCAACCTGTTGCTGGGCCTTGGACCTCTCACCTCTGCACTCAGAAGGTTTTGTAGAAAGGGGTTCTTGGCTTGTAGTTCCTCTTTGTGGGTTGTGAGTTTACCTTGCCTGAAATAAAGATCGGCCCCAGGGCCAATGGTCCTGAGACTCCTCTTTTTAGGGCTGCAGTCCCCTAACCTGCCCACCCCTCTTTTCTCATCCCTCACCAAGCAATAGCAGCATCCAGGTGTCTGTCTTGGTATAGTCCACCTTCTTGTTTCAGGGAGCTCAGGCTGCCTGTGGGGAGAGAAGGGCAGAGGTACAAAGAAGCTAAGGGTAGCCCAGGTGCCTTTTCCTACATGAGCTTCACTCCACACCTCTTTTCCATATTAAACTGCTTGATGAATCTTTCTCAGATAGGTGGTCTAGTGGAACGAACACTGAAGTAGGAAGAGCTCCAACCTTGCCATTTGTTAGCTGTATAGCTATAAGAAGGGACCTATAGTTGGGTCTCTTGTGAGTAGCCAGTGAGCTAAACCAGTACCCTGAGCAGGTTAAGAGTCAGGCAGCTGGAACTACAGCTTAGAAGCAACTCTGTACATACCTTAGAGAAGTCACTGAACTTCTATAGGCCTCATTTTTTTCCATCTACAGAGGGGGTGCTACATATTGTCAGAGGGATTTTTTTGGGGGGGGAGGTGCTGCTTTATTATGAAAAAAACAGTTCTTAAAGCACCATATAAATGTATCAGCACCATTTTTGTAGTGGTAGCATAGAGTGGTGGAAAGCACTCAAGATCCGGAGTTGGAGGACTACCCATGATACTCCATGATACTGGGCAAGTCACTTCCTCTGCATTTCAGTTCACAAAAAGAAGCAGCAAGATATCTATGATCTTTCCTGCCTCTAAATCCTATGACCATACTGAAACTCCTGAACTACTGGACAACTAATACTACCTGGCGAGTCATTGCCCTGGATTGAACGTGAATGGTATGCGGAACACTTGTGGGTCATCTGCAGACAATAGTGAGAACATTTTTTTTTTAAATCCTAAGATTGTAAAGGGACCTGAACAAAATTGATCTCTTTACAATTTCCACCACTACTCCTGTATTTGCATTGTGGGGTCAAGTAGAACAAATATGATCCTCCCATATAACAGCCTTCAGATGCTTGAATATGTCTATCATATCACCTCTTAAGTATGGTCTTCCTTAGACTAAATAATTCCCAGTTCCTTCATCTGATCCTTCTATAGTATGATCCTGAGACTTCACCATCCTGGTTGCTATCTTCTGAACACTCTATTAGATTAGAGTACATTAGCACTATCACCTTCCTGCTGGACCGAATCCCCTCAATTCAGCTTCAAGTCAATTATCTTCTTGGTGGGGACATTACTGTTGGCTCAATACCGAACCTACAATCCATTAAAACCCCTAAATCTTTTAACTGACAAATCACTCTTTGGTGAAACTTTTCTTATCTTTTACTTGTGAAGATGTTTTAAACTTAAGAACTTTTACATTTTAAATTCAACTCATTCCAGATTGTCAAAAATTTTTTTGTCAAAAATTTTTTATTAGTATTGATATATTTGGTTTTGATACAAGTTTTCAACAAACATAGGAATCCCCTTCTACAAAGGAAATTCCCCCTAGAACAGATAAGAAAAAAAATATCTAATAGTGTGTCAGATTGATCTTTTGGGATCATGAATATACCATCTAATGTGTTGGCCATCCCTCTTAGCTTTGTGCAAATTCATATATTTGTAAAGTATACCTACTATCTGTGCCTTGATCCCTGTCATCAAAAAAAATATGTTAAGTATAACAAGGTCAAGTAGAAATTCCTGCAGCTATGCACTTTCCAAGACGACAATGAATCATTAATGACTATACTTGGCTTCTGCCCAAACAGTTTCATATCCACCTAAATGCACTATCATTTAGCTCACATTTCTCCATCTTTTTCATAAGAATTTCAACAAGAATTGCATCATTCTACAGATATTTATCAAATACCTAAAGACAATCTAAAGAGAATCTTTGTTAGTGCTTTGCTAAAGTCTAGGCAAACTATATCTACAACATCCTCATGAAATTTATCTGCCATGACCTGTTCAAAAAGCCATACTGGCTCTTAGTGATGACATTTTTTTTTCAGTCATAAATAATACATTCTAAAATTTGTCCAGGAATTAAAATCAAGCTCACTGATCTGTCATATACAGGCTCCATTCTCCTCCTTTGTTCTGAAAATCAGGACAACAGTTGTTGCCCTTCTCCAGTTCTGCAGGATCCCTGTGATCCCCACAGTCTCTTAGAGATCACCAATGAGGTCTTAGCAATTTTGTCTGCCAGTTTTTTATTTCCTTTTGATGTAGTTTCTGGGCTTAATTACAAATCAAAGGCAACTAGATGCTCTCTTATTTTCTTCCCTAACTTATCAGCTCCCTTGAATCCCTTGTTGGTCTATCATTACCAGACTTGGAACTAGAAGGACCCTTACAGGTAATTTCTTTCTGGCAGAGAAAAAAAGGAAAAGAGGGAAAAAAAAAAAAGAAGCAAAATCAGAGTTGAACAGCACTACTTTCTCTTTGTTCTCCATAAGCATAGTCCCATCCCAAAGAGCAGTAGTCCTATTCCTTCTTTAATCTTCCTCTTTTCCCCAGTATTGCTTTAGCGATAACACTATTTAACACTATTCTTACAGGGAATTTCATGCTTTAAAAAAAAAATCAATTCTCTGCTACTTAATTTCACTGCCATATGAAAAATTGATCCAAATCACTAAAGACAAGAGAAGTACACATCAAAACAACAGGAGTTTCACCTTACATCCGGCAAACTGGCAGTGACTAGAGATGGAAATAATCAACAATGGAGGAGCTATAGAAAGGCATAATCCCATACTAACTATTGAAGGTGTAAATTAGCAGTCATTCTGGAAATCAGTTTAGAATTGTGATTATAAAGTGACCAAAATGTCCATATCCTTTGACTCAGAGATGCTGTGACTAGGTATAAACCCAAAGAAGTCAAAGAACAATCCCATATATGTCAAAACATTAATAGAACATTTTGTGGCATCAAAGAACGAGACAAAGGGGCTTTTCTTTGGGGGAATAGCTTAACAAATTATAGTTCATTAATGTAATGATTACTGCTGTATAAGAAACTAATATGGAGAATTCAGAGAAGCATGGAAATGAGTCATTTCACTCATCCCACCAACTTTCAATATACCTATAATATCAAAATAGCTGCCTTGCGTGAGGATCTCTAGTTCAGTTTGCCTTTAACTCAGTTCAGTTTTTCAATCATGTCCAACTCAGATCAGTGACCCCATTTGGGGGTTCTCTTGGCAGAGATACTGAAATGGTTGGCCATTTCCTTCTCCAGCTCAATTTACAGATGAGGAAACTGAGGCAAACAGGGTTAAGTGACTTGCTCAGGGTCATATAGCTAGTATCTGGGTCCTGATTGGAACTCAGGAAGATAAGTTCTCCTGCTCCAGGCCCGGCACTCTATTCACTGTACCACCCAGCTGCCCCTTGCCCTTTGCCCATACTTGGTGTATCTGCATATCAATATCTCAAGCCTTGGGTTTTATTGCTGGTTCCTTTCTTAGATAATTATCTTCTATGAATTCATGTATGTGTATCTGCCATCTTCCTATACTGTATATATCCAAGAAGTTTTTTCCTCCCTCTTTTTAATGAAAAGCCTTTGATTAAATTGGGAAGACTCTTTAACAAATACCTTTTTACCAGCTCTCATTGGATACATTTCATCTCTGGTCAAGGATCCATCATTTCTCTATTTTAGATGTTTATATTTCTTTATTTTATATGCCTATTCTCAGACACCATTTTGTTCACGTCCCACATCTGCCTCTCTCTTTGGAAGACCCTGCCTTTGATTGGTAGCCATAGTTTAGAACAAAAAACCTCCGTGTGTTCCCCTAGGTATTTTGTTTCTTTTTGCATATAATCTTTAGCACGGTTTTCTAAGTTCCACTTGGCAATATCACACAGGCCTTTGTGAATCATGAATGGTGGGTAATAATTCACGGGCTTTGATAAGTCTTAAGACATTCTCTGTCACATTCTGAATACTTACCCAAGGAAGTACTAGGGAACTTTTTCTATTGTTGGATCACTAAGTAGCTATATCCCTCAGACCAGATACTTAAGTACTAAGAAGTACTCCTTACTCCTGTCAACTTTCTCTAACTCTTACAGAATAATCTCATCTGTCAGCAGCTGTGGTTTTTTATCTTCAATTCCTTGGAGGATGAGAAGCATCTTCCTCTTTGGATGGTCCAGTTCTCTCTTCAGGAAGAATTTCACATCTGTTACCTCCAAGCTTGTAGGAAGTTTTCTTCCTCTTTTCCTGTCTCACATTCTTTCACCCTTCAGTTTCTTGAGGAAGGTCAGGATTCCTCTCCAGAGCCTTTTCTTTCTTTGTTTTAATATTTAACTCACCCCTCACTCTTTTTTTTTAATTTTAAAGGAATACTTCATTCTCCCTGACAATCCACAAAATAAGAGTAGTTCCTTAAGCTCTCTTACCTTCTTTTTTAGGAGGTAGGCCAGCACTGTGAGCTTCAACAGAAATTCAAATAAGGTTCACTCTACTTAGATCACTGAAAAATTCTCCCTGATCTCTAAGTATCAAATACTTACAGGTAAAAGATGTTTGTGTCATCTAAGGAGATCTGAAGAACAAGGTACCTGGAAAGAGGGAAGGTGGGGGTCTGCACAGAAAAACTTGTTTGTGACTGGGAAAAGCTTTGCTAGGAAATTGGAACCAGTTTGACAGTCACTCAGAACGTAAGATTTGGAAGAGACCTGATGGATCACCTTATCTAGTCCATGCCTTCATTCTGCAGCTGAAGAAACTGAGGCCCAATAGAAGGAAAGCAACTTTTCCCGGTCCCACAGCTAGTTTGTGGAAGGGCTGGAGCTCCATGTCCCTGCTGGGAGCCTGGCTTCCCACAAAGTGTTGTGGGGGCTACAAAGAAGCGTTCAAGGGGCCCACAGAACGAAAAGACTCGAGGCCCTATTCCCACCCTCGTTGTGGGAGGCACAGCTCACCCTTCAGGTCCATGAGGATGAGGCGGGGAGTGTAGGTCTCCTGGCCATGCAAGGTTTGGCCTGGCCGGTACAAGACATCGGGGCACAGCTCTCCGGGCACCTCCTTGGCTCCGGCCAAACGGCCCAACGAAGCATCCTGTGGGGGGACGAGGCTTGCTGGGTCCAATGCAGCCGCAGGCCCTGAGCCGGATGGGACAGCGGGAACGCGGAGATCGGAGCTTGGGGATCCCGTTACCGGCGCAAGGGTATGGGTCAGGGTGGGTAGGGGCTTACCTGCTGGTTCCACCAGTGTGCCCCTACGAAGCCAGCGAAGTGTCCGAGCTGCAACGTGAGCACTTCCCGGGCCGCGCCTGCCATCCCGCTCCGCCAGCTCCTCCCCGACAGCCTCTCAGGCCCACCCGCTGCTCCGCGCCGATTGGCCTGCTGTTTCCGGAGGTGGTGCTGGTCCCGCCTCGCCCCATTGGCCCACACCCTTATCCCTCCCACTTCAAGCAACGATTCGTTGCGCTCGCGAACTGCCCGCCCCCGACCTGCTTCACTGTGGGTCGGTCCCGCCCATTTCCTGTGCGTGGTTCAATCCGGCTTCCCCTGGAGCCGATTGGCCAGGCTTGAGGCGGAACTCCCCGGCTCTGAGCCCTGGAGAAGAGGTGCACGGCGCAGGCGCAGCTCGTGCCTCGAAGCTCTTACCTGGCTCCTCCGCGCCACCCAAGTAGAGGGACACCACCCCCCATCCCCCGTTTAGCGGCTGAGCCTGAAGCTGTTTCCTGCCCGAAGGTTCCAATCTGTCCTTCAGTCTCTACTGACCTTTGGGATGTCCTCCAGTCAGGGGAGCCCTCACCTGACTGACACCCCGCCCCAGCACACCCTTCTCGTCTTTGTCTTGCGGGGAGCCCAGGCTGCTGAAGCGAGTGGAAGCCGTGAGCTCCAGCCTCATCTCTGCCTCCTGGATTCCTTCAAGTCCCAGCTAAAATCTCACTTTCTGCAAGTCCTCCTTAATCTTAATGCCGTTTTCTGAGATTATCTTCAGTTTATCCTGTTTGCTTGTACATCGTTGTTTGCATGTTAGAGGATGCGCTCCTTGTGTCTAGCACGTAGCGCTGTGTCTGGCACATAGTAGGCCCAGCCCTGGGTCCTTCCTGTTGCACATACTATCAACTTTATTTATTTTTGGGGGGGGGGGCTAGGCAATGAGGTTAAGTGACTTGCCCAGGGTCACACAGCTAGTAAATGTTATGTGGCTGAGGCTCGATTTGAACTCAGGTCCTCCTGAATCCAGGACCAGTACTTTATCCACTGCGCCACCTAGCTGCCCCTACATACTTCCAACTTTACTGAGATGATGAAGGTCTACTTAATTTTTCAGTTGTGTCCTCCCATCGATTCTCCTCTCCAGTTTTAGAGGATACAGTAATCTTCCTTCTGGTTAAAGCTAATACTGCCAATCAATAGCCTTTATTCCATTCTCTCCCTACAGGACCTTGATCCGTGAAAATCATAAATCCCACAATTAAAAAGTAATTCAGGGGCTATCTAGTCCAGCCCATACCCCCCACCCCCCCAAAAATCCCCATTATGACTCGCTGGACAAATGGTCATACAGTTTTTGGCAGAATCCACTGCTTCTCTAGGAGGTTCAATCTGCTTTTGAATAGTTTTAAGTGTTAGGATATGATGTTAGCCCAACGTCAAGACTAAACTTTCTTCTTTTGACATTCACCCACTTGGTTTTTTCCCAGTTACAGCTTCTGGAGCCAAGCAGAACAAGCAAAAAGTCAGAAAGAGGTTCTAATCCCTCTTATAGAAAATGATCAATGTTCAACTATCACATGTGCCAAGCACAGTTAAGTACTAAGGATACTAAGTACTTTAAAAAGTACTTGAAAAATGTCTTCTCATAAGAAAGGGAAAGACCAAAAAAACCCAGTGCCTACTCTTAAGGAGTTCACCAGGATGAAAGAGATATCAGGCAAATAACTATGTACAAACAAGATATAATCAGGATAAATTGAATAATAATAAACATAGAGAAAGCACTAACATTAAAGGGAATCTGGAAATGCTTCTTGCAGAAGGTAGAATTTTAGCTGGGTCTTCAATCAGTCATCAATCTGTATTAATAAGTGCCTACTATGTGCTAAATGCTGGACATACAAAAAGAGGGAAAAGACAGTCCCTGCCCTCAAGAGCATGAGACAACATGCAAACAAATATATACAAGGCAAGCTATAAATAGGAAATAATTAAAAGAGAGAAGGCACTAGAATTAAGAGGGGTTGTGAAAGGCTTCCTGTAGAAGGTAAGATTTTATTTGAGACTTAAAAGTAAGGGTGGTCAGTAGTTAGATCAGAGGAAGGGAACATTTCAGGCATGGAGGACAGCCAGAGAAAATGCCCACAGCTGAGAGATGGAGTGTCTTGTTTGTGGAACAGCCAAGAGATCAGTGTCGTTGGATTAAAATATATATGTTGGGAAATAAGGTATAAGAAGACTGAAAAGGTAGGAGGGGACTAGGTTATTTAGGGCTTTGAATGTCAACAGGGCATTTTCTATTTGCTCCTGGAAGCAACATGGAGCCACTAGAGTTTATTGAGGGGGGTGGGGTGATATAATCAGGACCTGCACTTTAGGTGACTTTGGTGGCTGAATGGAGGTTGGATTGGAATGGGGAGAAACATGAGGCAGGCAGACCCTCCAGGAGGTTACTGTAATAATCCAGGTATGAGGTGATGAGAGCCTGCACTAGAGTGGTGGCAGTGTCAGAGGAATAAAAGGGGCATATACCAGAGATGTTGAAAGGTGAAATCAGCAGGCCTTGGCAACAGATTGGATATGGGGGGTGAGAGATAGTGAGAAATCCAGGATGATCCCTAGGTTGTGAGCCTGAGAGACTGGGAGGATAGTGTTGCCCTCTATGGTAATAGGGAAGATAGGAGGAAGGGAAGGTTTAGAGGGAAAGATAAGTTCTATTTTGGACCTATTGGGTTTATGACGTCTCTTGTCTGAAAGGCAGTTGGATATGCAAGGTCAGTAGAGAGATTGGGGCAGGATAGGTAGATTTGGGAATCATCATCATACAGATGGTAATTAAGTCCTTGGGAGCTGATGAGATGACCAAATGAAGTGGTATAGAGGGAGAAGAGAAGAGGGCCCAGGACAGAACCCTGAGGGGCACCTCCCGTTAGAGGGTGTGCTCTGTAGGAGGATCTACCAAAGGAGACAGAGAAGGAATGGTCAGATAGGTAGAAGGAGAACCAGGAGAGATGTTGGTGTCCCAACATCAAGGAGGAGAGAATGGTCAACTATGTCAAAGGTTGAAGAGAGGTCAAGGAGAATGAGGACTGAAAAAAGGCCATGGGATGTGGCAACTAAGAGATCATTAGTAACTCTGGAGAGGGTAGTTTTGGTGGAATGATAAGTTCAGAAACCAGACTTTAATAGGCTAAGAGGAGAATGAGAGGAGAGAAAGTGGAGGCACCTACAATAGTAGGTGGTCTTTTTGAGGAGTTTGGCTACAGAAGGCAGAAGAGATAAAAGACAGTAGTTAGCAGGGATGGAAGATCAAGTGAGGATTTTTTCAGGATAGGGAAGACATGGGCATGTGTGTAGGCAGTGTAGGAAATGCGTCAGTAGGCAGGGAAAGATTGAAAATAAGTGAAAGAGTGGGGATGACAGAGAGGACAGTCTGTTGGAGGGGAGGGGATGGAACGGGACTGCTTGAACAAGCAGAACTTTTAGCTGTGGTAAGGAGTAAGGCCACTTCATCATGTGAGGCAATAGTGGAGGAGAACCTAAGTGACAGAAGACAAGGAAGAGGGAAAAAAAGGAAGCACACAGTAAATGGCCTCAGCTTCTTCTACAAAATGAGGCAGGGTTCTTAGCTGAGGGAGTGGGAGGAAAAGCAGCTGTGGGAAGTTTGAGGAGGAATGAAAAGGTGGGGAAGAACCACTATGGAGAGTGGAATGGGGAGCTGATAAGGACTGCCCAGCAGGGGTGAGGGCCCAGTGGAGGTTATGCAACATAAATTTGTAATGGAAGCAGTCAGAATGGTTGTGTGATTTTCTCTGCCTTCATTCAGAAGCACTTGTGTGGATGAGAAAGGGGCGAATGAATGGTGGGAGTGATCCAAGGCTGAGGCTTGGCTGGGCATAATTGGCAATATGCTAAGAGGGCTAGGGATTCAAGAGAGTAGGAAAGTGTAGAGTTGAATTGGTTGGCCAAGGAGTCAATATGCAAAGAAGAAAAGAGAGTGGTGGCTTGTCTAAGGGAGATGACTTGGGAGAGAATTGAAGGGTCACATGATTAGGGGTCATGTGGGTAAAGAGTAGAGTTATGTAAATGAAGGCAGAGGGAGAGGTGAAAAGCCAATAGATTATGGTCAGATAAGATTTCAGAATTCTTGAACATGAAGGTAGTATATTTGTGGGTGATGGCAAGATTAAGGGTATGACTATCTTTGTGTGTGATTGAGGTGGATTGGAGGAGTAGCTCTTGGGAGGCGAGTAGGTTGAAGAAAGTAGTTAGGGTGTTTGAGAGAGAATCAGTATGTGTGTTGAAGTTCCCTACTATAAGAGCCGGAGTTAAGGGAGGAGAGAAAAATTATAAGCTAGGTATGGAACTCACTGAGGAAGAAAAGAAAGTGACCTTGGAGTTTGTAGACAACAGTTACTAGCTTTTGATTGGATGGTAGGTATGAATAGCACCAACCTCTAGGGAAGAGAAGTTACTGGGTGATGGAAGAAGGCGAAAGATACACCAAAAGAGCACCTGGAAGCAGCAATGGAGAGCCAAGAGTATTCCAAATCCCCTGCCTTGATCAGTGAGTCTAGGAGAATAAGTGAAGGTACACCTAGTACTGGAAAGGGTGGCCAGGGAAGCTGTGGAAAGCCAGGGTTCAGCAAGAGGTAGTAGATGGAAGGAGTGGGAGAGGGATAGATTTAAGATGAAGGGAAGTTTGTTGCCTATGGAACAGGTATCCAGAGGGCACAGTGGAAGGGCTGGGGGAAGTTAGGATGATACTTTGGCATGGGAAAGTTGAGGGGGATTGGAATAAGTTGAGTGATCAGGGTATGAAATAGGGTTTAGATGATGATCTATAGGAGTTCAGAGTCACTGGGATGTGAAGGGTATGAGTAGGTATAAGAATGTTTTTCATTGGGTGGAGGGTGCCACCCTTCTATCCTCAAAAGACAGGAGCAGCAGAAGTTGAAGGGAAGGATGTTCTTTGCACTGGAGGGTCTTCACATCACAGTTGGAATATTGGGCTGGCAGCAGGAGGTAGAAGATGCCTTGTACTGGTACAGATGGAAGTGGTTGTTTTGAGGAAGATGGGAGAAGTCTGGCCTAATCCCTAGTGGCCTTTCCTTAGCAGACATGCTGCACCCAG